GTAATAAGGATGCTGAAAAGGATGGAAGACAAATTCAACTACATGTGTAAGAACCAAGAAGAAATGAAGAAGAACCAAAAAGAAATGAAGAATGTAATAGCTGCAATAAGGAACACAATAGAAAGCATCAACAGTAGACTAGAAGAAGTTGAGGAATGCATCAGTGAGCTAGAAGGCAAGGTAGGAAAAAATACCCAAACAGAGCAACAACTGAAAAAAAAACAACTTAAAAAACAGGTGGAGAGCCTAAAGGAGTTTTGGGACAACACAAAATAAAACAACATCTACATAATAAGGGTGCCAGAAGGAGAGAAAACTGAGCAAGGAATAGAAAACCTGTTTGAAGAAATAATGACAGAAAACTTCCCTGATATTGGGAAGAAAAAACCCACAAGTCCAAGAAACTCACAGAGGCCCAAACAAGATTAAACCAAAAAGACCAACACCAAGACACATTATAATTAAATTGGCAAACACCAACAACAAAGTAAGAATCTTAAAGGATGACAGAGAGACAGAAAGTTAACTATAAGGGATCTCCCATCAGACTATCAACTGATTTCTCAATAGAAACATATCAGGCCAGAAGGGAATGGAATGAAATATACAAAGTCATGGAAAGCAAGCGTCTGAATCCAAGAATACTATACCCAGCAAAGCTATCATTCAAAATTGAAGGTGAAATCAGGAGCTTCACAGACAAAAATAAATCTAAAGGAGTTTATTACCACCAAACCAGCAATGTAAGAAATGCTAAAGGGACTTCTGTAAAAAGAAGAAATAGGAAGGGAAGAAGGAACACAGCCATAAAGAATAAAAATGGTGACAAACAAGTAACTATCAATAATAATTTTAAATGTAAATGGATTAAATTCCCCAATCAAAGACATAGGGTAGCTGAATGGATGAGAAAACATGACTATTAAACAATGATTGGGCTACCAAAGAAATCAAGGAAGAAATAAAAAGCATTCAAACAACAATGAAAACACAACAATCCAAAATCTATGGGACACAGTGAAAGCAGCCTGGAGAGGGAAGTTCATAGCTCTATAGGCCCACCTCAAAAAACAAGAAAAAGTGGTAATAAGCTGAAACCGGTTTGGCTCAGTGGATAGAGCGTCGGCCTGAGGGCTGAAAGGTCCCAGGTTCGATTCTGGTCAAGGGCATGTACCTGGGTTGCGGGCACATCCCCAGTAGGAGATGTGCAGGAGGCAGCTGATCGATGTTTCTCTCTCATCGATGTTTCTGACTCTCTATCTCTCTCCCTTCCACTCTGTAAAAAAATCAATAAAATATAAAAAAGAAAAAGAAAAAGTGGTAATAAATTATGTAACCCAATAACTCAAAGAATTAGAAAGACAGCAACAAGAAAAGCCCAGAGTAACCAGAAGAAAGAAAATAATAAAGATCAGAGTGGAAATAAACAACATAGAGACCAAAAAACAAAACAATACAAAAGGTCAACAAACCAAGAGCTGGTTCTTTGAAATGATAAACAAGATTGAAGAACCTCTAGTCAGGCTCACTAAGAAGCAAAGAGAGAGGACCCAAATAAACAAAATCAGAAATGAAAGAGGTGAAGTAACAACTGATCCCACAGAAACACAAAGGATTATGAAAAAATACTTTGAGCAACTCTATTCCAACAAACTGGACAACCTAGATGAAATGGACATATTCTTAGAAAAATAAAAGCTCCCAAAACTCAATCAGAAAGAATACAAAAACCTGAATAGGGCAATAACTACTGAAGAAATTGAAGTAGCAATCAAAAATCTTCCAGCAAACAAAATCCCTGGTACAGTCGGCGTTACAGGGGAGTTCTACCAAGTATTCAAAGAATTAAAACCTATCCTCCTCCGAGTATTCCAAAAAATTCAAGAGGAAAGCACACTTCCAAGCTCTTTCTATGAAGCCAGTATTACCCTAATTCTAAAACCAGAAAAAGACACCACAAAAAAAGAGAATTAAAGGCCAATATCCTTGATGAACATAGATGCTAAAATCCTCAACAAAATTCTTGCAAATCAGATCCAGCATTACATTAGAAAGTTCATACACCATGACCAAGTGGGATTTATTCTGGGGATGCAAGGATGGTACAATATCTGCAAATCAATAAATGTGATACATCACATAAACAGATTGAGAGACAAAAATCACATAATCATATCAATCAATGCAGAAAAAGCATTCAACAAAATCCAACACCCTTTCTTGATAAAAACTCTCAGCAAAGTGGGAATAGAGGGATCATACCTCAACATAATAAAAGCCTTGTATGACAAACCTACAGCCAACATCATAGTCAATGGGCAAAAACTAAATCCATTTCCCCTAAGAACCGTAATAAGACAGGGATGCCCACTTTCACCACTCCTGTTTGATACAGTACTGGAAGTGCTAGCCATAGTGATCAGACAAAAAGAAGAAATAAAAGGCATCCAAATTGGAAAAGAAGAAGTAAAACTGTCCTTATTCACAGATGACATGATACAGTATATAGAAAACCCCAAAGACTCCATAAAAAAACTACTAGACTTAAATGAATTTGGCAATGTAGCAGGATACAAAATTCACACCCAGAAATCTATGGCCTTTTTATATACCAATAATGAACTCATAGAAAGAGAAAAAGAAAAGAAAAGGAAAGAAAAGAAAAGAAGAGAAAAGAAATCATATTTACCATTGCACCAAAAAAAGTAAGATACCTAGGAACAAATTTAACTAAGGACGTAAAAGACCTGTACTCAGAAAACTACAGGACATTGAAAAAAAAGAGATAGAGGAAGATATAATCAAATGGAAGAACCTACAATGTTCATGGATTAGTAGACTCAACATCATTAAAATATTCATACTACCTGAAGCAATCTACAGATTCAATGAAATCCCCATTAAAATACCAACAGCATATTTCAAAGATCTAGAACAAACTCTTCAAAAATTCATCTGGAATAAAAAAAGATCCTGAATAGCCACAGCAATCTGAGGAAGAAGAACAAAGTTGAAGGGATCACAATACCAGATATCAAGCTATATTACAAAGCCACGGTTCTCAAAACTGCCTGGTACTGGCAAAAGAACAGACATATAGACCAATCGAACAGAACAGAGAACCCAGAAATCAACCCAAGCCATTATGCTCAATTAATATTTGACAAAGAGGCAAGAGCATACAATGTAGTCAACACAGTCTCTTTAATAAATGGTGCTGGGAAATTTGGTCAGATACATGCAAAAATTAAAACTAGATCACCAACTTACACCATACACAAAAACAAACTCAAAATGGCTAAAGGACTTAAACCTAAGATGGGAAGCTATAAAAATCCTACAATACCCCATAGGCAGCAAAATATCAGACATATGTAGTATCAATATCTTTACTAATACAGTTCCTAGGGCAATGGAGACTAAAGAGAAAATAAATAAATGGGACTACATCAAAATGAAAAGTTTCTGCACAGCAAAAGAAACCATCAACAAAACAACAAGAAAGACCACTGCATGGGAGAACATATTTGCCAATGCTATTTCAGATAAGGGTTTAATCTCCAAAATTTACAGAGAACTCATGCAACTTAACAAAACGTAGGTACACAATCCAATCAAAAAATGGGCAAAGGACCTAAATAGACACTTTTTAAAGAGGACATACAGAAGGCCCAGAGACATATGAAAACATGCTCAAAGTCACTAATCTTCTGAGAAATGCAAATCAAAACAACAATGAGATACTATCTCATACCTGTCAGAATGGCTATCATCAAGAAATCAACAAACGACAAGTGCTGGCGAGGATGTGGAGAAAAAGGAACCCTTGTGCACTGCTGGTGGGAATGCAGACTGGTGCAACCACTGTTGGAAAGCAGTATGGAGCTTCCTCAAAAAATTAAAAATGGAAATCCCATTTGACCCAGTAATCCCACTTCTAGGAATATATCCCAAGAAACCAGAAACACCAATCAGAAAGGATATATGTACCCCTATATTCATAGCAGCACAATTTACCATAGCTAAGATTTAGAAACAGCCTAAGTACCATCAGCAGATGAGTAGATTAAAAAACTGTGGTACATCTACACAATGGAATTCTAAGCTGCTATAAAAAAGAAGGAACTTTTACCATTTGCAACAGCATGGATGGACCTGGAGAGCATTATCCTAAGCGAAATAAGCCAGTTGGAGAAAGATAAATATCACATGATCTCACTCATATGTGGAATATAATGGTCAACATAAACTGATGAAGAAAAATAGATCCAGAGACAAATGGTAGGGGAGGGGGGCTTTGAGATCAACCAAAGGACTTGTATGCACGCATATTAGTCTAACCAATGGACACAGACATGGGGTGGAGGGGGCTTGTCCTCGGGTATGGGATTGGGGGATTGAGGGGGGTCAATTGGAGAAAAAGAAGACATAGTAATACTTTAAACAATTAATATATATATATTATTAAAATTAATTTTACCCTTTTGGTTTACAGCTATGAGAAAATTTGAAATGATATATGTAACCCATATTTCTATTGGATAGTGCTGCTCTAGAGACATACATACATTGGGAACTCTCATTTCCTGTCTTCTCCCAGAATATGCAACCAAGGCCCTGATATAGACATTCATTGTCAAGAGGCAACAAGATTAGATGTGAAAAATTACTTGTTTGTGTCATTGAATGAGGCCTATTCACTGAGAGGTAATTATACCATTCACAGAAATAGAGATGCCAGATAGGGGAGCTGGTAAAGTGACAGATAGTAAAGGTGAGGTTGATCCATAGTTGGTTAACTTTATATAGCTGCTGGCTGCCTGGGAGCCCATACCTCCCCACCTCTGTTTCCAACTGTGACAACAACTTGAATCAGAAAAAAAGTGGCAATTTCTGTTCACCAATGGGCTTAGCCAGACAAAAGGGTAGAGTTTATTCAACTTCTGTAAAAAACAATTTCCTATTTGTCAGGCAGTGGCAAAAAAATCCAGAAAAGGGTGTTCTGCTGGGTTTACTTTTATTGAACAAGTAATTGGACAGACAGCATTGTGATCAGGGGTCTGCAGAGCACAGACTGGGTGGGGATGTCTCTGTGCCCTCTGATCGCAGAATCTAGGAGGAAAGAGATGGAGAAGACTGGAAGTCAGTGAGTCCATTCCCCCAACAGTCTCTATTGTTTTCTACAGTAAATAAAGACGAGCTCTGAAGAATTCTTTGTATATACAGATGGTGAAGGTAGGCAATTCAGAATCAAGATATAAATGGTCCCTCATGGCTTTCACCAATCCTCACATCATTTGACCTAGAAGAGAAGATGGGTAGGTTAGATGGAAGAAATTCAGAGATTTTGTAGAAATGAGGGTTGTACATTTATAGCTGTACCATAATCAAAGAAATCCATAGATTCCTGCACTCTATCAAGGACTCACAATTTAAAATCACTTTCACATTTTATTCAATTGACTCAATGAGCCTTTATTGAGCACCTAGTACAAACTCCCTGTTGAGGTGGATGCAGAAATAAAGTCTACTCTCTATTACATGTGACCCTCATGCAAAGAGATAGGTGCTACTAACATTATTTCACAGAGGAGGAAACTGAGCTTCAGAGAAGTTTAGTGACTTCCCAAAGTCTCACATTTGGTCAGAACTTAAATCCAATTCCTCTAACACTAATGTTTTACTCACTGTTTGTCTTAGGCCATGAGAATACAACCAGCTAATCTTCCTTGTCTGATGCATCCAATATTCATATACTCTTTAAATCAACATTTAAAACATTAAATCAACACAAATTTTTTAAAAGGGGGCAAGTGCCTCAGGGAATCTTCCATATAACTATACATTACCACCTAGAGCCCTAGTAGCACTATCATTCCAAACTCAAACCTCCATTTAAACTTTCACATTGAAACTAAAATTGTGAGACTTCCTTTGGTTTGAAAATCTCAAGCTATGGTCTTGCTAAATCCTTGAAAATCTTTGTCATTAAACTGAGACACATTGCTTATTCACCACAGAAAATAGTATTGGTATTTTCCTTAACATAGTAATTTCCTTCCAAAGTAGCTAATTTTTATTTAATTGAGATAATGCCTTCTCCAGAGCCCCAGGTGCTTAGAATCTCCTGAACCTAAAGGATGGTGGCAGAACATAAGAAGTAAAGTTAGAAGATCTACATTGGACTCAAGATATAATACTGAATAACCCTGATAAATTGCAGCAGTTCTTGCATGATGATTTTCTATAAAATGGGAAAGATAATGATCTCTGCCCTAATTACAGGGCCACGTGAATGTAACTCTAAAGGGTTACATTCATCTTAGCAATTACTGTATAATAAAAAGTCCTTATTAGATAGTAAGCAAAAGTATGGGTTCCAGGAACCTCAATCTATTTTTCCAGAAAAGCCTTTTATTCCATTCTTGGGAGTCCAGGTTCTCTTAGATTATCTTCTACCCAGGAACAATGGTCAGGCAATAGGTTCCAACTTCTTGGATATGAATCCAGAGTTATTATCAGAGCAATGCTGAGCCATGACCCACCCATACCACCTTGGTGATTCCAAAATCACAGCACTGAATCATAGCGGGAACTGAAATCACACCCAGGACACCTTTTGTTCTAATGACTTGATCCATCAGCTAACATCATAAATAATTCCTGTCATTAATAATGCCTGATATATACCTCTGGTGGGAAGAATACGCCCAAAAATGAAAGGAAGGAAGGAACTCCCTTACAAACCTTTTGTGCTTAGCCTGGCAAGATTCTTCATTATTTGAACAAATACATCTTATCGTATGCTCCTATGGCAACTTCCCCCTAAAGCAGTTTTTGTCAAGTTGTTTAAATGAGAAGGTGTGCCTAAGGTGTAGCCTATAAAATTTATATAAAGATTATTTCCCCCTTCCTGTTCTAGAATATATGTGACCAGGTGTGTTTGTGAGATTGGGGGACAGTATGTCCGTCAATAAAATGAGGGGCAAATCACTAAGAGTTTATATGTAACAAGAGAGCCAACACAATATGGGGAGTGGAGCAAAAATTTAAACCCTCTCTTTATAGACATGTAAAGACCCAGAGTAGACAGATGACTTTCTCAAGCCCAAATAAGAAATTAAAATGTCCTGATTTCAGCCCATGCTCCACCTATTCCACCTGCCTTCCAGCTGTTAGTATGAAAGCAGAAACAGCTTCTAGCTCCTGTTTTTCCAGTTTCCCATATCAAGCATCACTGAGTAGTTCTTTTGAGTATGGTCTCATGTAGTGTTACTTAAGATTCTCAAATGTGGCAGAACAGTTTCCAATTCCATATTGCCAAAGCTGGCAGTGGAAGGGAGTAAAATAACAATGTGGATAAAAATAAATAATTATTTATTCATTAAATATTGTTTAATTAAATTTTTTTTGAATATCAAATACAAATTTATTAAGAGAGAATTCACTAAATGATTAAAAATAAGCACGGCGCCAGGGTATATTTCTCTAAATTCATACTTTGGTCCTTAGGCATAATAATAATAGTGATAATAACAATAAATGCCATGAATTTGTAGACACTGTGCCAAATGCTTAAAAGTCAGCACTTCTTGAATATTTTCAGTAACTCAGTAAGATCTTTTGTTTCAATGAGTGATTTTCAACCTTTTTCATCTCATGGCACACATAAACTAGTTAGTAAAATGCTGCAGCATACTAAAATATATATCTTTTGCTGATCTGACAAAAATTTAGGTATAATTTTGATTCTTTCACACCAGATGGCCATTGTGGTGTTGGCTGTTGTCATTTTTTGATTTGACAATCTAAAGGAAAAGAGGTCAGTGCCCCTGACTACTTAGTCAGGTGTTGCATGTTTTAAAAATTCTTCTGCCACAGTAGCTGAAAATTGCTGGCTTAAATATTTATGTGATTTGCCAAAGGTCTCATATATGAAGACCATCAAAAACTGGAATTTGAGTCCATATTTATCTGGTAACAAAAAAATTTATCTTATTTGAATATTCTCAGTTCCCCTTCCCCCAAGTTACATATCATCTTGCTAAAGGAAGAGATTCCTCAAATGAAAGCACCAGGGAGAATGTCAAACTCAATAATGTGTATCAAAACATCCTTGTAAGACTTTAAATGAAAAGGTCAACTTTTCATGAGAGAAGATCATTTAATACAATGTAAAATGCAAGGATATGGGGGGTTACAGAAAAATGGTTTAAATCCAGTTCTGTTGCTATCTGACCTCTTTTGGTCTCTGTCTCATTTTTTATTATAGACCACATGAAAGAAAACCTACTCTGTGAAATTGTTGTTAGGGACATCACTACTAAAAAAATCTATTAAGGATCCCAGGAAACATTTTTAAATGTTAACTACTACATTATTATTCCCACATATTTCAGCAATTACTTAATTATCTTCATCAACTGGCTCTAAAAACCACAATCATGGATGCCAGTGTACTTACAGATGCTGGCACGCTGAGAGGTGTTGTTTCTGGGGTGCTATTCTGCTCACACGGCCCTTCGCTGCGTATGCGTGTATTAGTCTGGCGTATTCTAAAACAGAACAGAGTAATTTTCAGAGATGGGGAAAGGAAAACAACAAGGATTAATGTGGGTGATATTTGAGCATCAAACCCGAACTGAAATCAGGGGCAGGTCCTGGGATCTGCATTCAGCTCTTTTCTAGTAGGCATCATCACGTTTCGTCTCTCTCTTCTCACTTAGCTCCAGCGTTTTTTTCCCACCCCTGGATCTATTCTGTCACATTTCATTCACAATATACTCAGAGTTGTTGAACTTTAGAAATACACTTAGAGATCATTTAGTCCAAAAGCCATTATTTTACAGTTGGGGAAATGGAATCCCAGAGAGAAATGAGACTTTATTGAGTACTGATAATGTGACTTGGGCATTATAAAATATATTTCATATAAATGTATTTATATAAACATATAAAATAGATAGAGGATATAGATATATAAATATATTTTATAAAGTATAACAAGACTTAATCATATAGTCGGTATTTTAGAATTAGAAAGACTTAAAGGATATGACTTTTAAGGCCTCTTAAGAAATATTACATATCCAATATCTACTGGTGATGGGAAATTTACTGTCTAACAAGACAGTTCATTTTGTCTTTGGGCATTCTCAGGTTGAAACTGCTTCCTTCTAGATTACCCTAAGACAACAGAAACCAATACTGTTTCCTTTTGCCTGGGATAGCCTAAATTTTCTCTTCATAATATATACTCCCAGTTTCTATTATCTTTAGCTAAACAATCCTTCCTGAAACATGCTTTTATTAATATTTTTATCATTGGGATTTCTCACTATAAAATTCCTTGAAATAGAAATCCACTTGTTATGGGTTTATATAGTTAATAGAATGTTTGAAGAACATTGGCTACATTTACAATAAAGAGAAATTGAAGAATTTTTGGGCTAAAGATAAGGCATCATATAGTAACAAATTCCTGAATGGTTGTATTCATCCCTGAAACAGAGATTCCTTAATTCTTAAAACTCTGTAAGACCCATGGATAGACTTCAAGAGATCAATGTGTCCACAGATGATATGCATAAAAATTGTTAATGTCACATCATTTTCTTTTCTCTTCTGAAAAGTGCTAACTCTCTTCTTATTATCAAAGGAATTTTTGACCTTCAATTTTTAAAGGAAGTACTGCCTGGCATATAACAGCAGTGTGGCAGAAAGAAAACTGTATTATCCCCAAAGCAACAAGTTTAAAATCCTGTCTGATCTGCTTCCTAGCTATGTGACTTTAAACAAATTACCTGTACTCTCTGAGCTTCAGATTCACGCTCTGTACAATGAAGCTATCACCACTCCATGACAGGTAGTGAGGATTCAGAGAGGGGTGAATGTGAAAGTGCCTAGTCTGCAGATGTGAGATCATATAAAGATCTTATATTCAGATTTTATTCTAAGTATATGAAGTGTAGAGTAGATTTTTCTTTTATGAGTTATTTAACTTAAAAGAACATAAATGTAAGTTCAAATATATTTCTCTATAATTGAAAAGCAGGATATCGGGCCCATCCTCCCATTCTGGACCTTGCTTATAGTGTCCTGAGAAGGACAGAATACCCATAGATTGTCATGTAAATCTGGAAAAGTGAGGGGGAAAAGTTAACATTTATCACCATGCTCTCATTTAAAGCTAGTCAAATGGAGGCTGGGAAAAGGTTAGCTGGGAAAAGGTTAAGAATACGGATGGAAGTGAGGGTCAGATAGCAATTGAGCAGAAAAACAATAACAAAGCTACCTCCAATATATGCAGTCTTAAAACAAATCCTTTGTATTTAATTTAAAATAATAATTCTTTGCAATAGCCCTGTAAAGTCAGTTGACTCAAAGAGCTATTTCCTCTTCTCCAAGGAAGCAGCTGAATCTCATAATGATGAGATAATAGGCCCACAGATGCACAGATAGGTACAAATCTTGAAAGCCAAAGCCGACACCAGGTCTGCCATTTGCTCCAGTGAGCTTTCTTTTGCATGATAACACTTCCTGCTCCAAGAAGAAGATTTAGGGAGGATGGGAAATCTGTGACTATCAGGTAGTCATAAGGCCCATTAGTGATTATAGGCTGGGCTAACTCTGCACCTGATCTTAGCCAAAAGGCCGAGAAGCGATAAGGGCTAACTCTGTTTAGCAATGACTTTCAACTTTTTCTATTAGACAAGGGATGGGTGACTCCTTGTAAGTAAGTATACACGAGCTTATAGAGATTTTCTCTAATTGTTGTAACCCCACCACTTTTTTCCTTTCTCTTTCACTCAGTAAAATATATAACCAATTTCAATAAAGGGATAACATCAACTCTCCTTTATTTTAGATGATGATGATCACAAAATGTGATTTGAACTGCAATGATTAGTCATCTGGTTGCAGCACACCTCAAATTGCTATCCATTCACTGCCGTGGGAAACACTATAGACAAGAGCTTCTAGACTAGAAGATATGATGATGAGACTTGTATACTTACAGGTTTTCATGACAGAGCATGCATGGATTGTTGTATGTCTGGCCATCATCACCACAGACAGGCTGTAAATTCTTTGGGCAAAGGTAACCCATCTTGGGCAATACTCTATAGTGTTTGCACATCTCAGAATCCTGAACAAGCAAAACATAAATCAGATTTGCTTTGCTCCATGGCACGCAAGAGGGATGAGCTGGGGAAAGTCCCCTTGATTTCCTCCATCACATTTGAATATATTACTAGTAAAGAAGCTGTCACATAGGTCAAACAAACTCACATTATTTATTTCGTACCATTATTAGGTAAATTTAACCTCCCGGATTTGGCTTCTTTAGACTAGGGAGGATAAGCAGCTAAATCAAGACATAAGGAAGAACAAAGCTACAAGAAAGCCAAAACTCTACGTGACATTGGGCACAAATAAATGAGACACATCCATAGTAAGGATTCTAGGATGGTAATCATGCAAAAAATAATATTATTTTATCTTAAATGAAGGCACTGGTTATATGCAATCTAGAAAGGAAAATACTAATCAGAGGCAAATACTAGTTAATTGCATGGGCTATTGAGACCCAGCTCTGCCACTAAACTGGAGGAAAGGTTTACCTCACTCTCTGAGCCTTCGTTTCTCATCTGAACAGCATGAATAATAATAGCTCTTGTCTCATATTGGTGTTTTAGGGGATCAAATCTGATAATGCATTTAAACGCATGCATAACACAGTGTTTGGCACACAATAAGGGCTCAGTATATGATAATTGTCAGTATATCTCCCAAAATTAAAGATATATCTTTCATGTAGCAGAGGGAACATATTTGTTCTTTGTAGTCTTTTAGAAGTGTGATTTCAATAATAACTTTATTAATTCAAGAAAATAGGACCAAAAGAAAAATCAAACTTAAAAATAGAATTATAGAAGACTTAAATACGATTGTGTCAGTAATTACATTAAATAATAGTAAGAATAAACACTCCAGTTAAAGAACAGAGATTATCATACTGGGAAAATAAAAAGACTCAACTATATCCTATCTAATAAAAGAGAAAGATGGTAATTGGCGTACGACCGCTACCCTTCCCATTGGCTAATCAGGGCAATATGCAAATTAACTGACAGCCAAGATGGTGGCCGGCAGCCAGGCAGCTGATGCGAACAGGGAGGCTTGCTTGCTTCAGTGATGGAGGACTCCAACGTTCCCCGCCTGACTTGCCGGCCTCTCAGCTGCAACTCTAAGCAACTATGTTGCAAATATAGAAGCTAAAAAAACCCCAGAAACCTGCTTTACTCAGCCAGGCTTCAGCCAGCCGGACTGCAACATTGTATCAAATACAGATGGTAAACAAAGGCCAGAAACCTGTTTTCAGCAGCCGAGGCCTCAGAGCTAAAGCTGGCCCAGAATAAAAAAGAAAAAAGAAAAAAAGGAGCGGTTGGGAGCTTCAGTCCCAGCCTGAAAACAGCCCTCAGCCCCTCACCCAGGCTGGCCAGGCACCCCAGTGGGGACCCCCACCCTGATCCAGGACACCCTTCAGGGCAAACCAGCGAGCCCCACCCATGCACCAGGCCTCTATCCTATATAGTCAAAGGGTAATATGCCTCCCAGCACCAGGATCAGCGTGACAGGAGGCAGCGCCCAAACCCCCTGATCGCCCTGTGGCTCTGTGTGTGACAGGGGTGGGGCCACAACCTCCCTATCCACCCTGCTCTGTTCGTGAGAGGGGAAGGCGCCCCAACCCCCTGATCAGCCCTGCTCTGTGTGTGACAGGGTGCAGGGCCCCAACCCCCTGATCGGCCCTGCTCTGTGGGTGATAGAGGACAGAGCCCCAACCCCCCGACCCGCCACGGGCCCTGCTCTGTGTGTGACGGGGTAGAGCCATAACCTCCCCATCGGCCCTGCCCTGAGTGTGACAGTGGCGGCGCCCCAACCCCCTGATCGGCCCTGCTCTGTGGGTGATAGAGGGTGGCGCCCCAACCCCCTGATCCACCCTGCTCTGTGTGTGATGGGGCGCGGTGCTCCAACCCCCTGATGGGCCCTGCTCTGTGGGACAGTGGGGAGCTCCTCATTCCCCTGATCCGCCCTGCTCTGTGCGTGACAGGGGGTGGCGCTGCAACTTCCCTATTGACGCTGCCTTGAGTGTGACGGGGGCGGTGCCCCAACCCCCCAATCGGCCCTACCCTGAGCGTGACTAGGGATGGCATCGCAACCTCCAGATCCGCCCTGCTCTGTGCATGACAGGGGGCGGCGCCCCAACTCCCCAATCGGCCCTGCTCTGAGCCCGACCAGGGGCTGCACCTAGGGATTGGGCCTGCCCTCTGCCACCTGGGAGCAGGCCTAAGCCAGCAGGGCGTTCTCTCCCGAGGGGTCCCAGACTGCGAGAGGCACAGGCCGGGGTGAGGGACCCCCTCTCCCCCCCGAGTGCACAAATTTTTGTGCACTGGGCCTCTAGTAATATTTATAATAAGTATAAATATATTATATTAAATAAATATTTCTATTTCAACCAATAGGTAAAATTAAAAGGATGGAAAATATATAAACGCAAACAGTCATTATACAAAAGCTAGATAGATATCTATATTAGTGTCACATAAGTAGAATTTAGGATAAAAAGTATTAGCAAAGATAAAGAAGATAATTTCTAATGATAAAATAATAGTTTCATTAATAACAATCCTAAATATGCATCTACCTAAAATATAGTTTCAAAATATATATGGTAAAAATTGTCTAAAAGTAGAAATAGGTAACTTTATAAACATAAAAGGAAATATTAACATACTTCTTTCAGTAATTGATAGCATAGCCCAAAAGAAAAAGATGTAGAATATTTGAAAAACAAAATTACCCAGTTTAACTTAAGTGATATTCATAGATATCTATATCCAACAACTATAGACTACACATTCTTTTCAAGTACATATGAAATTATTATCAAATAAACCTTTTACTGGGCTGTTAAACAAGTGTAAATACATTTCAAAGAATTAAAGTCATAAAATGTAAGTTTATGATCACAGTGGGATAATACTGATAATAAATGTGACAGTGATAAGGTCTCTAGGTAATCAGAAATTAAATAACACGCTTTTATATAACTTATGACTCAAAGTAATCAGAATATAGAAATGCTGTGAAGTGAATGATAATGAAAGTATAGACTAACAACTCATAGCAGTTCTTGCATTGAGTTAAAGGAAAGTTATAAGTCCTATTTTTCTTGAATTAATAAAGTTATTATTGAAATCACAAGTGACAAAATGGGCAAAAGGACTAGAGGCTGTACTGAATCAGCCCTTCCCCGGCCTTTCTATGGAAATGAGATCTACAGGGGGCCAGTGGCAACACCCCCCCACTAATAAGCAAATTAAATTAATAAGTAGCTTTCCTGAAAGAGTCATTCTTACCAGAGAAGATTTGGGGGAATCTGGGCTGTCTTCCTCACTGGAAGATCTAGGTTGGGATGGCCTTTCTTGAAGTCTTGCCCTTTCCAAAGCTTCTTTTTGACTAAAAAAGAAAATAAAAAGTAATTTAAAGTTATGTCTACAAAAATTAGCTCCTATAACTTCCAGTGGGAAGTTAAGCAATTCTAATAAAATAGGATGAAACCATAGAATATTCTATGTTCAAAGCACAGAACATAGAGAGTGACCAAGGTAACATGTTAAGGAAAGTACAGCAGGGCTCTGGGCTAGAGCTCTTATCATGTAATAGATAAATTCCTTGAGCTTAGATTTTCTAGAACATAAAAAAGGTAGTATTGGTAATTCCTTCCTCAAAAAAAAATTCTACAAAGAGCTAAATGAATACTGATGATGATGATGGTGATAATTGTGATCATTGTTATCATTATCACGCACATTGGTCCCCAAATATGGTTGTCCATCAGAATAACCCTTTCTCAAAAACAAATTCCTTAGCCTTGGAGATTGACTTTATATATTTGGAGGCATAAATATATACTTATATATATTTCTCTTTTGAGTCTGACCTAATTTGGAACAAAACTCTGAAATAATTTCTTGTAATTATGATCCTGAGAGATGAAAAAAACTTTAAGTGACAGCTAGTAATTATCATGGTTAGATCTTACATCTGAATTTCCTGTCTCCAAATCCAAGCATTCTTCCTCCTATATCAAGTGTTGTCAAATTAAGGGTCTTGAATCTAAAAACGTAGTTTAAGGACCTCAACGTTCATGAGCTCGTATTTATTTAAAGAGCAGTTTCTACAAATACAGTTCCTCCACATGCTGAAGGGATCATAGGGAACCCTTACTCACAAGACAGTTCTGCACATGTAGCACTTGTTCTTATACAACTTTCCATCAGCACCACGCACAGGGTCATTCTCCCGAGTGCAAAGGAGCTCGTCATTCCTTAGGTACCCCCGGAAGTTAGCACACTCGTCCTGGAAAATGAGAAAGAAGTGAACATGGCTGTTTCCCTTTAGCTTGGTGGTTTTCTCACACTGGGTTTGAGGAGGTCCTCTCTTGGCTCTGGGCTCAGACTCACTGCACTTATCCTGGCAATGGAGGCCAAGGAATGCCCAGACTGTCCAGACTTTCCATTCTCTGTTCCTTTCTGAACCTCTTTGCACTGGTCCTGCAAATGCAAGGAAACATAAAACAATGCTTGATAGACCTTCTGGTCTCTCGTCCTTTCCTTCCATCATTCCTTTCCCCTATTTTCCACATGAGGTGTACCCTTGGCCAAAGGACATTCTCATAGGAATTTAATTCTACAAATGGGATTGATTATCACTGTTAAAGGGCTGAATGGCGATGTCTTCTTTGGAGTCTTGAAAAACAAACAAGAAAAGGCAGCATCATGCATGCACGCTATTGATTTGTTGATGCTGAAAAAATCATCTGGAGAAAACAGAAAAAAGAAATCAAGGACAAAAGGGGAGGTTCTGTGATTAGATAATATTACCTGCGCTGTTAAATCAATGTCAGCAAGCCACCAGAAGCCTCCTTTCACATTTAGTGTCAGAGGTAAGCATGCAGGGAAGGAGGAAAAGGATTTCACCCTTTATTTTTCAACCCACATTTCCCCCAAGATAAGAGACTAAAGCAATGACACACTGTAGGAGAATTCTCTACAAAACTGAGAAAAACATAAAACCTCAGAGCCAGAAAAATAAAATCGTATGCCCAAAGTGACAATATGGGCAAAATCAACTTTCTTTGAGGTAAAATATTAGCATCTTCATTATCCCAACACTGGAGTAGAATTCAAGATCTGAGGATGAAAAGTAAAATAGTTTTCTTCATATTTTTTAAGAAATAACCTTTTTATCATTTGAAGTTTTGTTGTGTGATTTTTCTTCATCATTCTTTTTTCTGTCACTAGCTTCTCGGTCACTGCAGAATAAAAAAGGATAGGGTAGTTTTTCCAGGATTGTTATTGAATTTTTTAAACCAAGTATTTCTCCAGTTCTAAACATTAACAAATCCAAGAGTTTTCTCATGTTTCAAAAATATCTAAAATAGTTTTGTATGTTTGTTTGTTTTTTACTAATGAGTTCTGCTTATTGGAATTTTCACAAGTTATGGCAATGCTTTCAACTTTCCTAAATCCAATTACTATGCTGTCAGAATCACATGATCCTCTTAGGCCATTACTCATTTCCCCTAGTAGAATCTATTTATGGGTTTCATATAGAGAGTTGCTTCATTTCTCCTTTTTTACTTTTCTAATTAGAGCACAACTAAACTCTTCAGTATTGATTGTTCATTATATAGTTTTAGTGCTTAAAGTTTATAAACATGTTTAATATTATCTCCTCAAATACCTATAAAAACTGTATTGGGAAATTATTGTTCCCTTCACATACAGGAGGAGCTGAGGCTCTGTAAAGTGAATTGGCCTGTCCCACGTTACTTAGCTGATAAGCTTCCTCTTTGAAAGCCAATAATTTGGGGCAATCCACTAGCTCTCCCTCCTATCCCACATGCTCCAGGTATAATTACGCTGCTCAACATCAAAATGAATGTCTTGTGAAAGTGCTCTGGAAACTTATTGTCCTCTTCTCAAGTGAGGAGCTGTTATATTTGTCACATGTGATTCTAAGTGCCTAAAGTTTTAACTTAGGAATTGGTTGGGTTTTTTTTTTGGCTATCAGGCACAACACATCAAACTGATCAATAAACCTCCTCACGTACAAGATGCTCTGGCACATTGCACACTTGTTGACGTGCATCTTCCCATATGGACCTCTGACGGGGTCGTTTTCTCTGGTGCAGATGAGCTTTCCATCTCTCAACATGCTCCGGAATTCATGGCACTGGTCCTGCCAAAAGGAGCAAAGCAAGATGTTAATAGTCTGGTCTGAAGAACTGAAAACAGAATTGGTTGGTAAGGTCTAAACTCAAAACACTTGAGGGAGGAAAATATCTAGAGAAAATGAAATTTTAGAAATGGAACATGTTTTAAAGGTACTTTATTCAATATATGCGCAGGAAGTTAGGATCCTCTCCACAACATCCCTCTCAAATAACTGTCTTTCCTCAATGGAATTTGCCTTCTAAAGCAGCCCATACCATTTTTATGCAGTTTTCTATTAGGCTGAGCCCAAAACCTGTCTCTCTACAACTGTACCCATTACTCCACACAGAAAAAATAACCCCAAAATGAACTAAAAGATGCTCTTTGGCAAAACATACTAAAATATAAACTTTTAGCTTTGTTCCTCAATAACAAAAAATTTAATCAAATCTGCATTATATTCCAGGTACTTTGTTGGGTGCTCTGATGGATTTCCTTTAGTTGTCATAAAAAACCCTACACAATAAACGGCATTATTCCTACTTTACAGATGAGAAAAGTAAGGCTTGGAGAGAAAAAGTAACTAAAGTCAATGCTGGATTTGTGATCAAAAACTTGCTCACAACCACATTGTTTTCCTTTTCTTCACTGCTTTTACCTGGCAGAAAATGAAACTCCTATATATCTGTGAGAAGATGAAACTATTTTGTTCCTAAAAAGAAGCCAATGGAACTGGGTCCACAGGATCTTGCCTCTGTTGGAACATCTATAGAAGTTTTCTTGAACTTCTGTTAAGCACAAAGAGCCAAAGCAGATATATGGAAAGATTACCTTATAAATACTGCTAGTAATTTAGATTACAGTTATCTTTCTTTCTTTAAATTGTGATGTCCATAGACAACTCTAGACCTGCTTTTGTTGAGCATTTAAAAATTTTTCTGGAATTCAATATCTGATTAACATATTAAATGCTTCACAGCTATCATTTTTAAAAGCTACTAGAATGATTTCCCTTTCCAAGTGCCCAGCATACCAATACATATATGTTTATGATAGCATTCATCTTCTGTATTGCAACCTTTGCTTTATGGGTGCAATGTCTGGATCTTCCATTTATTATCTGTCTATAGTTACCTTCTCTGAGTTTTTCTGAACTGTAAAACTGGAAAAATACCAGCCACTACATAGATTTGGGGTTGGTTTAAACATGATAATGCAAATGCTTTGTAAAGCTTATTTCACTTTGCTTATTCCATAGCTCCCTTTTTGCCACACACGCACACAATATCTGGACATTTTCTATATATACATACAGAGAGAGAATTTTTTGTTTGCCATTCTTAAAATAGATAATAAATAATTGAAAAAAATTGACCAGGATTACAAGTAGAATAAATGGCCAGTAGATACCATCGAAGTTGTACAATAAAGCCTTTTCGCAAAACCATTCATTTACCAAAATGCATAGCAGATGTTCCCAACATATTTTTAAAATGATAACTACTATTAAGTTTCATTTTGTTTAGTCAGTATAGACAATGAAAAGTTGCCTCATTAATGGGAAAACCTTCCTGGGGAAATTTTACTCTTCTAATTGGAGCTCATAAATGGGTTAGAAGAGAGTGAGCTGTGTCATATATTATGTAGGTGTTGTAAAGCATTGACATCATGTGTTAAAACTGAACACAAGATGGCACTGTAATGCCAAATCAAGAATTCATCATCATGAGCTCCAATGATACATGCTTTCTTATTTGTAACTTAGGTATCTATTTGCTTGGTTATTTTGTTTTAAAACTTCAGAGAAGAAATTTACTTGAAAGCAACAATAGTTTGACAACTGTCACTGGCCCTACAGATTGCCGTAATTGCATCAGAGGTGCTCTTAGGGCATTGATTAGCATGTTATTTCTTTGCACGACATGGCCATGTCTTTCTTGTTTACCATTATTATAGTTATAATAACTACAACAGAGTAAGACACTTCATAACTATTTGTTGGATAAATTAACCATACAAACAACCATCCAATTTAAGTATTAACATATATTACCTGTTTTTCATTGCTCCTTTCTGATGTGTTTTGCCTATCATTTTCTTCTTTCTTTTTTTTTTCAGCTGCTTCCCTTTCCCTAGAAAAAAAGAATGGAAAGAAACATTTCAACCAAAGTGAACAACCACCTCATTAATTACTTGATCTGTCTTTAAAAATGTGTCATTTTCTCAAATTCATGAAAAATGATCATTATATTTTAAGACTCACAAATAAAGGCCCATTTTTTAACTTAAATACTTTATTGTTTTAAGTATTTCATAAGTCTCCTTTTCCCTCATTGACCAGCCGCCCCAGCCCCAGCACATGCTCTCATCCCCTCTCCCTTGTCTGTGTCCATTGGTTGTGCTCATATGCATGCATACAAGTCCTTTGGTTGATCTCTTACCCCCTCCCTCCTCAACTCCGCCACCCCCATCTTCCCTCATAGGTAGGACAGTCTGTTTGATGCTTCCATTACTCTGGTTCTATTTTAAAGGCCCATTTTTAGGAAAATACTCACAGTTTTTCCTTACACATTGCACACTTATTGCCATGTGTCTTGCCATTTGAATCGCGGACAGGATCACTTTCTCGGGTGCAGAGAAGTTGTCCATTTTTCATTTGGCCTCTAAATTCATCACAGGGATCCTGAAAAGAAGGGAAGACTACATTACGAATGACTGTTTTCATACAGTATTTGATTGAGCTTTGAAATCTGAAGATTTGGGCGGCTCTCTCCATGGAGCATGCCCATGCCTTTCCCTTCCCCTCAGGCATGTTTTCCTTGCTTCTCTCTTTCCTCTAAGTTCCAATGGCCTTTCTTTTGCCTCTGTAACTTGTTCCCTGAGCCCATGCAGCTCTGCTGGCTCACTTCTTCCATGGCTCACTTCTCTTACCTCTATGACTTTCTAAATAAACTTTTGCTTGTATTTGGAAGGAGGAGGAGGAGGAGGAGGGGGGGGAGGAGGAGGAGGAGAAGGAGAACTGAAGATTTTGACTCAAAATTTTACTAGGCTATTGAGAGAATTAAATAAACTACTATGTATAAAAGTGCTTTGTAAAGGATAAGACTGAAAGATTTCCATTTGATGTTAAATTTCCACACTGAACAAGCTGCCAGTGATATTTACATTAATGATGGCTTCTGATCTAAGGGCAAGATCTAGGTTGACAACAATGACACCTTCTTTCCGTATTTTTGATAGTCAAATGTTGACTTACAGAAAGACCATTCCTGCCAAAACCAAGTAAATGACTCACCTTTCCTGATGCTGATTCAGTCCCATTTGCTCTATAGCCAGAATACGTATTTTTTCCATCTGCTTGTTTTTCCCTAGAAAAGAGTCAAGAGTCATCTTGTTAACATGTACCCAGGTTTCAAAGGCCCCTTAGAGTTTATGTATCCTAGATCTCTTCCTGAACAGAGGATGTCTCTGCATGTCCCCATCATGGACAGCCAGCTGGGTTACTAAGAAGCTTCCTTGTCTGGCTGGTATGGCTTAGTAGTTGAGCGTCGACCCATGAACCAAGAGGTCCCCAGTTTGATTCCCAGTTATGACACATGCCCAACTTGCAGGCTCGATCCATCCCCAGTAGGGGGTGCACAGGAGGCAGCTGATTGATGTTTCTCTCTCATCGATGTTTTTATCTCTCTATCCCTCTGCCATCCTCTCTCTCTAACATCAATAAAAACATATTTTTAAAAAAGCTTCTTCATCACAGGTAGATATTCTAGGTAGATCAACTCAAGTAATTTTAAAGTCTCCTTTATTTATGTCCAAATATATCTCCCTGTAATTTCCATCCTTTAGTCTTATTTCACATTTTCAGGACAACACAGAATAAGCCTGCTGGCTCATTACATCTTTCTGATATTAACCCTTCAGATATTTAAAGCAAGTTTCAGGTCTCAAAGGCCAGCTTCCTCAGTTATTTCACCTTTTCATCATAAGTTGTAATTTTTAACTCCCCATTAACTCATCATTCTACTATCTTGATTTGTAGGTCAACTTATTATAATGTTATTTTTTAAAAGTATGGAGCCCATGATAGAAGATTGAGAAATACCTTAGGATCATGTGTTTTTTAACCTCTTATCATTTCTTAGGGGAAGCAGGAGAAATAATATTTTGGAATTAACAAAAAGAATAGTTTTCATGTAGGGAACTAGGCATTCATTCAGGAGGACTATGTGGCTATCTTTCAGACATGCCTGTTAATAGAAGTACTCACAGTATCTCTTTACACATGGAACACTTATTGTTGTATGTTTTGCCACTAGCATCACGTACAGGATCACTCTCCCGGGTACAGCTGAGCTTTCCATTTTTCATATTATCCTTAAACTCAGCACATTGGTCCTGAAAAGAGAGAAGAGAACAGGCCTTCTGGTTTACATGGTCTGTTGTATTGTTATTAAATTTGTTAAATAATCTGAGTAAGAAATGTTCTTGGCAGCCTTCTCTTACATGCAATATAAGATCTAGGATTGCTATCTACAGGAAAAAGTGGGCTGGGACCACCCATATCCTATGATGGTCAGTTGTCATGCCTAATTTTGCTGTTTTTACTGTTCCACACAGGAAATACAAAGTTGGTGAAATTTAACAGCATAGATCAAGGGTCAGCAATTACATAACCTATAGAACTAATCTGTCCTGTTGCCTATACATAATGTTTTTTGTATAAAATTTGAAATACCCTCATTCATTCTAGATATTATTTATGGCTGCTTTTCCACAACAATGTCAGAGTTGAACATTGCAACGGCGACCATATAACCCACAATGCCCAAAATATTTACTATCTGGACTTTTAAAAAGTTGCTGACCTCTGTTGTAGGAAGGAAAATGAAATGCTGGGAGAAAGCATAAAGTTATGCAAAACGCCAAGGAAGATATACTTGAGCAAATTATGGAGAAGACAGACAAAGCTTCGTTCTATGTCTATTACTTGAGAATGAGAACTCAGCCTTCTAAAGGAGAAAAGACAGAAAAAAAAAATGCCAACATTTGTCAAAGGCAAATATTGGGCCTGTGTCAGATCTAGAAGCAAAGAAATGGTCTTGATATCCCAAGGTTGTAAGGAGAGCAATAGGGTGGCTATAATCTTATGAAATTGTGTTCACACACTCAAGGTGTGGGCTTATATGCAAAGCCGTCATGCTGACATTTAAGAATATCTCAGGAAATATGCTAAACACTTGCCTAAATTATTTTATATTATCCCTATAAGAGTACTGCTAAGTCAGGGACACTAGAGTTCAGTGAGATGAAGTAACTGATCGAATGCTTCACAAGTCTTAAGTGAAAGGGGCAGAGTTGTGCCCCAAATCAGTGGTCGGCAAATCGTGGCTCTTTGGCCCCTTGAGTGTGGCTCTTCCACAAAATACCACGTGCGGGCGCACATGTACAGTGCGATTGAAACTTCGTGGCCCATGCGCAGAAGTCGGTATTTTGTGGAAGAGCCACACTCAAGGGGCCAAAGAGCCGCATGTGGCTCACGAGCCGCAGTTTGCCGACCACTGTCCCAAATTATCTGATCCCAAACCTATGCTCTTTCACCATATTATGCTGCCTTGGACCAACAGAAAATATACCTCAACAAAGTGACTGCATTCAGGGAAAGCAAGAAAAATAAAACAAGAGCATGTGACACTGATGTGAAACCACGTTTACACCATGTACTCTCCTGTGATCCATATTGACATGAGAGCTAGTCTGTAGAAAGAGAAGCCAGGAGACTGGGATAGGGCCATCACATTAATTATTCCAGCCAGGTTTAAAGAGGGCACAATGAGCCCTGGAGAGACTAAAAATTGCTGAGGGGACGACCCACTGTTCTTCCAAGGACATCTTCACACTCAGCACTACACACATTCACTCTGTACCACAGCCTTTGCCATGGTCCTACTGTCAACGAGTTGAGCTCACCCTGGTTATGAAATTAGAGAAATCTCTCACCTGAGCTTTCCCTCCACCACCACCGTTGGAATCATGCTCTGTAGCAATTCTCTGCTTTTCTGCTTCTTTTCTCTTCCTTTCTTCATCTTCTTTCTGGCTGGAAGTTAGAAAGTGGGAGACAGGGGATAACAGATTACAGAGTGGAATGCATGCCTATGCGTTTCTCATCCTTTGGTCAAATTAGATTGGTACAGAATTCACCAGCACTTATTGAACATCTACTATGTTGCAGGCCTTCTTTGAAAATAAAAAGATGAATTATGCAGAGTCCTCATTGCCATAGAAGGAAACCAATGTTTACAAATCACAAACGAGACCAGGTGAGTAATTAATTAGCATTTCATAAAGGCTCACTGAATCTCCAGGTATTTCTCTCAAACACTTCATATTTAAGAGGTCCAAAAATAACTACCTTCTTTACCAAATGTGTTCTTCCTCCTGGATTCTCTCCCTTCCATGAAGAACAAAACGCTGGAGTCACCTCTCACTGCTCCCTCATGGTCGGCTCAGACAGCTGTTGCCACATAACACTGATTTCACCCTCAGTGTCTCCCATGCTGATCCCGCTCACCTTCTATCCTACTTCCCGTGCTCTAGTGACTACACTGGGTCTTTGCGAACCCCTACTACCACCGGGAGTCTTCTTAATTTTAGCCCCTCCCTTCTGTTATTCTCCTTTATACTGCCGACATACGAATCTTCTTAAAGGAATCATATTCATCTACTACCTAAAAATTTAGCAGCCTTTCCACTCTATATAGGATAGACTAAAAAATCCTTGATCTGGCATTCAAAGCTGGTGAAGTGGCTAAGTATTAACTAAATTTAAAAACTTGCACTTTACTGTACATATGACAGTTTTCTTAATTTTAGATCTTTACCTATGCTGTTCCCTTCTTTTGCTCTCATTCTTTTCACTCCTGTCCTCATATTATCCAAATTTAAGGTGAAGTTCTATAGCTGAATAAAGCTATTAACTTTCCCTCCCCTGAAGTAGTATAGCATACTGTCTACCTCATTTGTCATTTAGCAGTGTATTATGTTAACTAATGCCCATGTCTAATGTCTAATGAACTATATGATTTCTCGAAAGATTCTTTCATTCATCTTTGTATAACCATTATACACTTTATACATTGTAGATGTTCAGTAAATGACTGTTGAATAAGAAATAATTTAGTTGTTCTTCCAAACATTGTGTAAAGAGCTAATTTTCATTTCCTGAAAATGTGGTATTTCAAGTATAGATAGAGGAGTTAGATTGCTTTTAAATTGATGTGTTTTCTTCCCAGAGGAAATTAAGAAATAATCCAGAGAAGGGATCCAATGATAGCAAAGGACTAACAATTCTATTGAGACAAATGTTGTGATCTATTGATAGGCTCCACCCAGAGAATATAATAACAATCTAATATATTGTCTATTTCTAGAATTGCAGTACTTATTATCTCCCCAGCTCTTTGCCTCCCCAGCTCTGCTGACCCACAGCAGGGGCTTCCTTTGTGCACTCACAAGACTGATTTACACATGGCACACTTGTTGCCATGGGTCTTGCCATCTGGACCACGCACGGGATCATTTTCTCGTGTGCAAAAGAGATTTCCATTTTGCAAAAGGCTCCGAAATTCACCGCATGTATCCTAAAAGGAGGAGAAAAGGTAAGAGCTTGGGTATTTTCTTAGAAATTACTTTGTTGGGTTCCTACTAAGTGCTTCCTAAAAAAAGAGAAAATGATCTAAGGATTTTTGTTCTGGCAATTGTTTTGCTCAATTCCTACTAAGCACACAGGACTTAAAAGGTGGTATATCTTCCCCCGCCCCCTTGAGATTTAGCCCCTGAATTCAGACTGAAGTTGCAATCACAAACAAGCAGTAATTTTTTAATAAAGTGGGTCTCTGAGGACTGGTCACATTTCTTACTCTGGGTTTTATTGTCCATCTCTGTTATAATAAAAAAAAATAAACAGAGCACTGAACACATCATAGAATAAAAAAAAAATGGGTTTAGATAGAACTTCAAAGTTTATCTGGTCCAACTATCCATGCTATATCTCAATCCCCTTTATATCACGCCTGCCAAGAAGTTACCTAATTTGCACTGGAATACCTGCAGCAATAAGGAGTCCATTATCTTCCATATAGTTGATTCCAAAATTTATATTAGATTGTTCCAACAAATTAGCCATAGTGCTACTTTTGGGGAATCTTACAAAATAGTAAATCCTATAGGATCCCTAATCCTAGGTTTGATTCTTCTAAGATGTCATTGCAATTAAGATGAGTATGTTTTGTTAGACCAGTAAACAAAGTCCAAGTATTTTCCTTCCTTAGAGAAATTGAGAACAATTTTCTTCACATGTTTGGAGAAACCTTCCTTGTCTTTCTCCCTGTGTTCTCTTCCAAGAGTTAAACATGCCAGATACTCAGTCATTCTGTTTCAATCATCGGTACCATTTCTCATTCTGAACTCCTCCCCTTTCCTAAAGAATCTAATATAATATTCCAGGTGTGTCTGGACAGGCACTAACGTTTTGACAGCTACACCATACTGTTAATTGCAATTCCAGTCTGCCATCGAGAGACCTCAGATGGGGGGTGCCTCTCTGTGCCGCAGTTACCTCATCTATAAAATGGAAGTGTATTCCACTTGGTTAAAATAATAAAGACCAATATGCATTAAGTATTCCATATATGTCATGTGTTGTTAAGAGAATAACATGAGATAATACACATGACTGACATCTCGGAAATACTCAGTAAATGTTCGCTCCAGAATTATATGAGGAATTAATAGAGAGTAAGAAATCACTTAAGATCATAGAGTAGCACTTAGGATTGACTTTGAGGGGCTTTATTTGTTTGTTTGCATCTTTAAGGTCAAATTGAAACTCAATGAGGACAAAATTGAGTTTTTCTCCCAACTCTGCTTTAAGGTTTGCTGCCAGATTTCCTAACTGGTCATAGTTATGAAAAGAAATGTGGTATGAGAGGACAGTTTGTAAGTAGTAGCTACTATGAAATAGTCTGATTCTGAAGAACTTTCTCTTGCAAATAGTGAAAAGTGAATCAGATGAGCATATCATATTATTTTTAAATCCAGACCCACAATTGTGGGAAATAAAATTGTAAACAAAACAATCTTGCAGAATTCCAAGTGTGATACTTTTGTTTAGAAATTACTTTTAATGTCAATAGTTTTTGATGGGGGCAAAAAAATAACCCCCAAATTGGAAAAAATCTAACTGGAATCAGTCCTTTTAAATCAAGAAAATATTATTTGGTAAAGTTGCTTTTCTATTTTTCCCCAAACTGCTGGCAACAGAAATATTTAAGGGTAAAGCAAGAAACAAACACAGTTTGACAAATGTGGCCATCTAAAACTGCATGGTGTGTTAGAAATAATGCTAGATCGCTATCAGGGAGCCCGGTTTGAATTCCATTGTTTCCATGTTTCAATTGTGAAAACTCTGAAATATGAAGACGTGGATTCTGACATCAACATTCCCATTAGGTTTCTAAGCAAGTACATCTATCTGCTTTAAATCGTCACTTAAAAATATGGGAATAAGTTAAATTAGGAGTTTGCAAGTAAAACTATAGCCTGGGAGCAAATCTGGCCCACCAGTGTTTTTGCAAAGAAAGTTTTATTGGAACACATCCATGCCCATTTGCTTTAGAGCTACAGTAGCAACTAGAGTCTCTGTGACAGAGACTGAACAACCACTATATAAAAATATCTACTTTCTGGCCCTCTAAGAAAATTTTATTAACCTGGGACTAAATGAACCTCGAGTTCTCTCACACAGGCTTCAGTAATTTCATGAATTATTTTTAAAGAGAAACTACAAAACCTCATTCTTTTACTCCAGGTCTGAATACTCCAGGACAGTTACCTTTTCGGTTTCTCTCTTAACCTTTGTTCTGGATTCAGCTTCTTTTTCTTTTGCTTCTTGCTGGCTATTGGAGAGAATGGTGGAAAGAATCATTCCCAGTACCCAGTACGTATTATCCTAAAGGGGAAGTCTCTCCAGATAGAAATATTCCATTCCTTCCATATCATAACCAACTTAGCTTGGGAGTAAAAAGGCAAATGCACACCCCCGTCTTATTCTTGCTTTTAGTGTTGCTTAAACAATAGAATACGCCACAGTGAATCAGCAAATATATTTTCATATTTCTTTTAGAAAACAGGGATTTGTCCTTCTCCCCAGAATGCAGCTAGAATACTTAAAAACAGTGACTACATATTAGCAAGTTTTCAATTGATAGGCCCAATGATTACATCTTTAGGTTATTCATGACAGTATGTATGCAGAGAACAGAAATCTCCGTCCCTGTATGCCATTAGCTTGGGGGAGTTTCCCCTTAGCGCATAGTCCTCTCTTGATGGCGATTCAAGTATCTTTCAGAGCACTGAGAACACTACAAAGAAATGCACTAACTCTAGGGCTTTATCATAGGAAATCACTGAACTCAATTCAAAGATAGCCTTCATTTTCTACCTCCTAGAGAAAACCTCCAATATCCTCTCTGTTGCCCGCCCCAGATGAAGATATCTTCTCCAATCAGCAGAAGCAGTGGCTGAAGATCTACTCACAAGAAGGCCTCACACATGGAACAGGTGTTGCCATGGATTTTCCCATCCAGGCCCTCAATGGGGTCATTCTCTCTGGTGCAGGGAAGTCGTCCGTTCCTCACATAGTTACGGTATTCACTGCACAGCTCCTGCCAAGAATCAGGTAACTAAGTATTAGAAACCTTCCTCACATTACCCCTTTGAAAACTATGATGTAATGAACCAAAACATAAATGATAAATGGAAAAGGTGATGCAGAAGATTGATAATAGCCAAGATGCTTTTCAGAGGCCCAGGTCACACATTATTTGGAATATAAGATTGTTGTTCCATATTTTATTAGAAAACCTTCAATTCAATGTAAATATTATTCTCTGCTTGGCAGCAGGAGAGATATAAAGAAGAATAATTTACTGTTCCTTTTGTAAGGAAATTTGTGGTAGGCAGGACAATAGCTGCCAACTCCCAAATTTGTATGAGCCCTAATACCCAGGGCTTGTGAATATATCACCTTAGGGCAAAAGGAATTCGCAAATGTGATTAAAGATGGGAGACTGAGATGGGGAGATTATTCTGGAAAATTCTAGTGCCCAATGTAATCACAAAGTTCCGTCCTTAAAACTGGGAGAATGAGACAGACAAAATAGTGAGAGGGAGATGTGACAGCAAAAATAGAAATGCAATGTTGTTGGCTTTGCAGATGATGAAAGGGGTCCAAGTGCAAAGGGACATGAATGGTCTCTAGATGCTAAAAAAAAGCAAAGAGACAAATTGTTTCCTGTATATTCTAGAAATGAATACACCCTACCAATCCTTTGATTTAGCCCAGTGAGATGTGTGCCAGACTTCTAGCCTAAAGAACTATAAGTCAATAAGTCTGTATTGTTTTTAAGCTACCAAGCTTGTGGTAATTTGTTAGAGCAAAGAATTTTTATTTTCTTTTGAATAAATACATAGAAGCACTTATCAGTTAGAATACAACAAATTAGATAATTGATAAATAAAGAAAAATTATTGGCATAAAAGATGATAGAACTATTAAGTATATTATATAAATGGAGAAAATCTTCAGGGATCCCCTATTACTGAGCCATGAAAATTGGTCAGAATTTTGATAAACAGAGGAAAGAGACATTCATGACTGAGTATGAGCAAGACCGTGTAGAAGGTAAAATTCATTGTATATATAATATTGAGGACTTTAGATATGTGAGGGGCTGTGCTATTATATATTAATGGATAAGTACCTTGAGATTTTATTAAAAAATAATAAAATAGTGTCCTTATGTTATTAATGAGAAAACTAAGACACAAACAGGTCAACCGTTTGACCACTGGTATGGAGATGGATGAAGCCAGAATTTGAACCCTGACAGTCTGAGTCCAGAGTCATGTTTTTAACCTCAACTTTATTGAGTCCATAAGAACTGGAGCCTTGAATTAATGCTTGTCAAGAAGCAACAAGGTGATCAGTATGTCTGGACCATGTTAGCAATGGGTAGAATAGCAGGAAATGAGGTCTGAGAGGTGGCAGAGGTCAGATTGTGTATGGCATTGTAAGCCACTAGAATGACCTTGGTTTTTATTCTGAGTGAGATGAGAAGACACTGGGTGGCTTAACCTGTCTTTATTTTTTAATAATTACTTTGGCTTTAGAGTTGAGAGTAGATTGTAGGATGCAAACGTAAGAGTAGGGAGAAGAAATGAAATCTTCAAAATTAGAAAAGGATAAAGGAAATAAGTAATAAAGATCTGAGGCATAGACTATGGGAAAATTACAAATTGAAAGTGTATGTAAAATCTAAAGTACAGCATGGGCATTAAAACTAGAACTTGTGGTCTAATTGCTTGCTCTCAAATTACTAATTATATACATTTTTGAACTTCTTATCTGAGCCTCTGAATCCTCTTCTATAAAATACAAATAGTAATACATACTTTGAATGATTACTACAAAGATCAGTCATAAAATTGTTAGACCACATTGCATACAGTAGCAATGAAATAATGAATAGCCATCACCATTACCATTATCGTTGTCATCATCATCATCATCATCATCATTTCATTATCATCATCACGGAGATGTTAAGAAGCAAACCCAAGGCTAAATGATGCTACGGAGTAATTTCTCCAAAATCTCACAGAGAATTGGGATGAAAACCTAGGTAGTTTTCTTTCTTTAACTAAACACCTTTAGATGACAGGTATAGGGGAAATCTAAAATCTGCCTCTATTGGATTGCATTCAGACAAGACAATCTGCATGTACTTCTTCATTGGGATAATATAATTCACATGCTTAGTAGAGAAACGGGTGGTTGACCTCATCTCAAATGCACAAGCAACTAGATCAAATTTGTTATGAATAAACTGAACCGGAAGAAGGGATCTTCATATACATGAGGATCCAAATACATTTTCTCAGTTTGCAAAGTCACTACAGACACTAGGGTTGGAAGGAGGGAGTGAGGCCTGGCCTAATGAGAATGGAATAGGTGAGCAGCTCTGATGACCTGAAATACCTACCTGTACTGCTTCTCTCTTAACTTTCTCAGCTTCACCTTTCTCCTTTTCTTCCTTGTCATTATTTTTCTTCTCTTCTTCTTCAAGCTCACTGCAATAAAAAGAAGAAGATACAAGCTAAATACAATTTCTCATTCTCTTTGGTAATGTATTTTCAGAAGGAATGAGGATCTTCCAGACCAAAGGTTAGATTTAGTCTTCAGTACAATTTTATCCAGTCGAAGAGGTGGTAATACTTTGCCCATTTATGCAGATAAATTCAGTAGTTTCCAACACTATTTAAAAATTAAAGCCCGCATGATTTTCTATTAGTATGTGAACTTCAGGTGGTCTTTTTTCTATTAGTCAGTGACTTCAACCAATATAGCCTCAATTGCCTTGATTTTTTAAAAAATTGTGAAACTTTTCCTGTTTAAATAACTACCACATCAATGATGAAATCAAGGGATGAGACCAAGTCAAATAATGGGTCCATAATCAAAATAAACCATGTTTCACTATAACATAAAAATTGTAAATATTATTTTAATGGCATTAATAATATTCAAGTTGAAATTCAAGTTTTAGAGTGCAATAATGATTCAAGCCCAAGAAGTTTCAACAACTAATATTTGGAGGTTGATCATGAGCCCGACTGGCATTCTTGCCATTTTCTACTAACATGAAGCATAGTAAGGCTGGAAAAAATCCTTAGCCTTTATCACGTCTAACCTAGTCATCACTCAACTAGCAAATCCAGCAGGTGAGAGAAAAGCCCTAATGTCTGCCCTGCCCTGTTAATCTCTTTTTTAAGGAACTTAAATCTTATACTTAACACTGGACAAAGACATGTGAAAGTTAAGGAGCAACACTGACTTTGCACTTCTTTCAGGAGATATTATTTAAATATTTTTCTCAAAATTTATTTTAACTTGAGGCTCTGTAGATTAGGAGTCTAAGGAGGAGAAGAAATAGAGGTGGTAATATGTCATTAGCTTCTCCTGTATTTTTTTTATTTTTATTTTTTGTTAATCCTCACTAGAGGATATTTTTTCCATTGCTTTTCAGAGAGAGTGGAAAGGAAGGAGAGAGGGGGAGAGGAAGAGAGAGGATGAGAGAGAGAGAGAAAAAACCATCGATATGAAAGAGATACATGAATTGGCTGCCTCCCGAATGCTCCCCCACCAGGGCCTAGGGAGAAAACCCACAATCAGGTATGTGCCCTTGACTAGGAATTGAACCTGCAACTCATGGTGTGCAGGCTGCTGCTCTAATCACCTAGCACACTGGCTAGGATGAGCTTCTCCTATATTGTCCCACACAATGGAGTAACACAGTGGCCTATTAGGCCCTGGACCCAGCTTACCAAGAAGACATTTTAATAAACAGCTATGACATGGGCCTGCCTCTTAGGGGTTTAACTCTCTACACTAAACCACTTCTCAGAATATTTATTTCACCTATGTATAGTAATATCTCTGAAAGAATAAATATGATTCTCTTTAGTCCATTTCTTACTCAGGTTACTTTAAGAGCCTTTATATAATAGACCCACAGACCTTTGTCTAAATGGTTTTCCCTTAACCAATATCTGAATATACTCACAGAATCGTAAAATGTCAGGGGTTGGAGAGAGACCAAAGAGATCATCCCATCCAGATTATCAAAATTCTGCTCTCTCTTTGTTATCAAATGTTAAGGAAATTTTGGCACTAAATTAAGACTTTTCCACCCATTACTTAATTAGCAGATAGAAGGATTATTGAATAGAGAATAACATTGTCACTATGTGATTCAACATTACCTAATGTGCTTTTAAAATTACCTAGCATACAGTATATAATCTATACATTTCTGGAAAAAAAATATAGTAAGATTCAGGGATGATTAATGATGAAGAAATTCCATGGGAGAGAGAAGGGTAGATACTCACAACACAGTTGCACACATAGCACACTTGTTCCCATGCATTTTGCCATCTGGGCCACGGACAGGGTCATTCTCCCTGGTGCATATGAGCATTCCATTCCTCACTTGGTTCCGAAACTCACTGCAGAGCTCCTGGAAAATGAAGAAAATATTTTCTCAGAGCAGTTTTCTACCCTCCCTGTACCTTTGCCTATTATGAGAAATAGGCAAAGAGTAAGAAGGAAAAATCAGTAAGTCTTTTCAAAGCTGATATCACAGACTCAGAACTGTCCTGGCACTAAAGTGGATCTGTAAACATCCTCATCACTCTCCTGAGCGTGCTTACCACCCAGTTGTAAAAGAAGGCTGACACAATTGATAAAGAAAAATATATATGTTGTGTTGCACATCAGTCTATTAAAGCTATGAAAGATCAAAGGTGAGAAGAATCAATAGGCCTCAAAAGAGAGGAACTGATAATATTGCTGAGCCTTCATGAGAAAGGAAATCTTTCCATTTGTGACAATTTGGATGAAACTTGAGGGCACTATGCTAAGCAAAATAAGTGAGGCAGAGAAGGACAAATACTGTATGATCTTCTATGTGGAAATGAAAAAAAGCCGAATTCAGAGAAACAGAAAGTAGAATGGTTACCAAGGGATTGGAGGGCAGAGGGGCAAATGGGAAGATGTCATTCAAAGGGTACAAACTTCTGGAAACTTCCAGTTATATGTCAGATCAGCTCTGGGGACCTACCATACATGGTGATTACAGTTAACAATACTGTAATATATGCTTGAAAGTTGCTAAGAGTAGATCTTAAACATTCTTATCACACACACACACACACACACACACACACACACACACACACACAAATTCTGTGATGTGGAGGAGTTAACTAAAACTATGGTGGTAATCATTTTGAAATCAACACATTGTATACCTAAACATATACAATGTTATATGTCAATTATATCTCAAGAAAGCTAGGAAAAAATAAAATTAAAATAATGTGCAAAAAAAGAATATTGCTGAACCTTGATTTGTCTTTAGAGTCTGAGAAAAAAAGAGAAAAACATGCTCAACTAAAAAATAAAGAAATATCTGAAATAAAGATGTGGAAGAGAGAACAAGTATGACATCTGGAAAAGTTGACACATTTCAGGAAGTTACTTGTTAAAGTGGGGGATGTGGACTTAAAACCGGAGAACAACAACAGGAGTGGAGAGAAAAAGGAATGTGTTAGACTCATTTGAAAAATCTAAAACAACTTAGCAACTCATCAGATATTATGGATAAAACAAATTTTCAATTCTAAATTACCAACAAAAAATGGCTTCAGCTAACAGAAAGTGAGTCAGTTTAAAGGTAAACTTTTAAACTGTGTCAACTTTCCCCAAATAAATTATTAGGCTTATACTTTGCAGCTATTGCTAAGAGATAGAATACATAAAGGTAAATATTGTATAGAGCTCTGATATGAGAGTAATCCAGCATCTACATACAGAAAGATTTTGTTCTGCTACTTGTAAAATTATCTATATAATAAAAGCCTAAGCGACCGTTACGGTGGAACGACCAGAATGACTGGTCACTATGATGTGCACTGACCACCAGGGGCAGATGCTCAATGCAGGAGCTGCCCCCTGATGGTCAGTGTGCTCCCACAGGGGGAGCAGCCGCTAAGCCAGAAGCTAGGCTCACAGCTGGTGAGTGCAACGGTGGTGGTGGGAGCCTTTCCCACCTCCACAGCAGCGCTAAGGAGCAGCGAGCCAAGCAGTAAGGAGCCTGCGGCTAAGGAACAGCAAGCTGAGTGGTAAGGAGCAAGCAGGTGGGTGGTAAGGAGCGCAGGATCCCAGATTGTGAGAGGGATGTCTGACTGCCAGCTTAGGCCTGATCCCCTGGCCTAAGCTGGCAGTTGGACATCCCCCGAGGGGTCCTGGATTGAGAGAGGGCACAGGCTGGGCTGAGGACACCCGCCCTCCCCCCCCGCAGTGCATGAATGTTGTGCAATGGGCCTCTAGTAAAATTATAAAAGCATGTAAAAAAAGTACAGGAGATTAAAATAACTAGACAGTCAAAGTCAAAATTTTATGTACTAATCATTAACTAGGAGTGAAAATAGAAGTATTTCTTCCATATTTGGGAAGTGACAAAGAACAAACATGATAAATATCTGCACATTTTTTTTGTAAATTGGACTAATATGAATGTTACAGTCTTGTACTTTATATTATAAATAACAGAGATTTGAATTACATAAATTGAAATTAGTAAATTAAAAAGATGGATATTAATAATCTGTACCTGAAAACAGAAAATGAAGAAAAGCCGAATATGGAGAATATCCCTTACAAAGTTAATAACACTCCAATTTTCATGAAATGAAACTAAAAATTTGAATTATCATGCAATAAAATTGGTCCTCTGCAAACTCCTAATCAAGATAATTTTCCCTCAGGTTAAAGGGTTTTTTTGTTCATTTCAGGCATGAAGATTGAACAGGAAAACATTTCTGCTGATGAGATAGCTAGAATGCTATTACAGAGAAAAACAGTGCCAAGGCATAGCACTAGCATTCCTGAGAAAATTACCTTTGCAGCTTCTCTTTTAGCCTTTGTTCTTGCTCTTTCTTCTTGTTGACTATAAGTAACAGGATGAGGAGTATGGGGAAAAAGAGAAGAAATGAATCTTAGTACAGTTGAATAGATTCTTCACATTTACCAGTTGACCATTCATTGCTTTGACTATTCTCAAGTAACACCAAAGATCCAATCATAGTTGTTTGTAATTTTATTGGAATAGATTAGAATGACTCACCTCTCCTCAAGAGAATGGGATGAAAGAGAAAGTTCCTTACTGAATAAGTCTGTTTAGCTTCCCAGCAAATACATTACAATAAGAATTTATTTGTTGATTCTTTTGCATCTGCAACCACTCTTTATAAATTGGTAATATTTGGCTTTTGAGAAGCAATATATCATGGCAGTTAGGAGGAAAAACTCAAGCCAGATTGCATAAGAAGCACAAAAAATTCTTAATCTCTTTGTAGCTTCCTCATCTTTAAATGGGGAGGATAAAGGAGAGACAGGAAAGGTAATAAGAATACTTTTTTCATTAGACTGTTGTGAGCCTGAAATGAGTTGATACATTAAAGCAATTAGAATAAGTATCTGGTCCATAACAAAATGATTGACAAAAGTGGTATAAGTGATTGGTATTCTCATCATTGTAATCATTATTAACAGTGACTTCTCCAAAAACTGGCATATGATGTAAGTGAAGTGAGAGTGACAGTTCTTAATCGTTTTGGATAACTAACAGGTTGCAAGCTGAGTTCAGTGAATGGATCTATAGCATAATTGAATCTACAACACAAGCAATTTAATCATATTATACAGACAGAGAAATATAAAATAACTTGTGAAAATGTTTTACTATGTTCCAATCAACATAAGACCTGCCCATTAATCAAATTAAAAGCTTTATAATTTAATGTTTTTAATATATTTTATTGATTCTTTACAGAGAGGAAGGGAGAGGGATAGAGAGTTAGAAACATCGATGAGAAACATCGATCAGCTGCCTCCTTCCTGCACACCTCCTACTGGGGATGAGCCCGCAACTCAGGTATATGCCCCGGACCGGAATCGAACCTCGGACCCTTCAGTCTGTAGGCCGACGCTCTATCCACTGAGCCAAACCGGTTAGGGCAAATTAAAACTTTTTAAAAGTTGAAGAGTGTTTTAATATGATTTTGAAGTGTGCAAAAAAAAAAAAGACTATAGAGGGAAGAATGATTCTCAAGAAAGTCAATACCCTTTACTAACATATCCATAAAATATGAGGTGAAAAAACTTTGTTTCTTTTGGATATGAAATTTGAGAGTGATGGGAGAATATTATTTATATAGCTCCAATATTGTGAGGTTTCTCATACTTATTTAAAAGGAAAACTGATCTAAACTTTATCATGAGTCTATGTTGACTAAAAAATTCAAGAAGAATTTTCTTCCCATACAGAGAAATTATCAGAAAGTACCAAGGCTGACCAGTAGATGGCAGAATGACTGCCTGTCACTGGGAGATTAATGTAGAGGTAAAGAAAAAAAGACTGAAACATGCCAACATACAGCTAAACACAACTACCACAGGTTGATCATGTTGATTTTTGTCATTCACAACCTCTCTGAGCCTTTAATTTTCCATCTAAAACTTACAATAATACAGAACTTATTTCATGGTTGTTGATAAGATTAAATGAGATTAGGTAGCAAAGCTCTTGGCAAGAACGTGACGATTATATGCATTCAATGAATGCTGATGACAATGAATACATAGTCACTATCTTGACTTCCATCTAATAGATGTTTAGTGCTTCCATGGTCCAAATACTATGGGATCAATCTTCTGGGTTCTGTAGTTTTCTACCAGAAAAGACTGCATGACTAAATCCTAAATCCAGAGATTCTGGCAGATGGAAAATAAATTGGAGTATCCCTTTGGACAAAGATCAAAAGACTTACAGAATTATAGGCTTGTTTCGGGGACATAGCATGTCATTTATTGTACAGTGATACCTTAGTCCCCTTTAAACAGGCATCCAACTCCTACACAAGAAAGTCACCATTCCCAAAGCAGCCTCTCCTTCTCTAACGGTTAAAAAGTTCATCTTCATGTTGCACTCAGACCTGTCCCCCATAGCTCTCATCCATTTTAATTCTATTCCTTGAGGTCACACAAAATGAGTAGACAGGTAGTAAATTAAAATAAAATTTTCTAAATTTTGCTGTGTACCATAATGATATTTTACATGTAATCTCCTCCATTTCCTATTTCAGCTGGTAATCCTGCACAAAACTAAAAGCAACGAGTAAGATTATCATAGAGTGTTTTCTTTTCTGAATAAAAGATTCTGAGTTCTGAAATATCCTAAAAGAAATTATTCTGCTTCTTTTTACATCACAATAATTACCTGAAAGCTCTCTACTTGCTATTTTGAGTTTGTGCTTTTTTTTTTAGCTTATTTAAATGTGACACCCAAAATTGAATGCTACACTGAAGAGGAAAATGTATTTTTTGCAATTGTTTGACAATTTCTCTTAGTTCTATCTCCCCACTCCTTCAGAAGCTCTGAGCTCTACTCACAAGAAGACCTCACACATGGAACAGGTGTTGCCATGCACTTTCCCATCTGGGCCCTGGATGGGGTCATTCTCTCTGGTGCAAGGCAGTTTGCCACTCCTCACATACTTGCGGTATTCACTGCACAATTCCTGTGAAATCGAGGAGGCAAATTGAGGTATTGGACACATGTTGGATCATATTGCAAGAATAACTGGTGATTGGACTTTTTCTTAAGTGGGGATCAGCAATTGGCTTATTTTAGAATAGTTCTTAATTTTGAAGACATGAATATTTTTAAGTGATGAAATAATGGATCCTCAACCGAAAAATAGTCACATATGTGTCTATGCACACATGTAAACAAACACACAAACAGAAACTGTCCGCATGTTTCCTACAGTTTCAGGGAACTTATGGGTTCACTGAATGCCATCTATGGATCCCAGGTCCACATGCCTCTGACTTGGAGAAGGTCCCCTCACCTCAAAGGAAGTTGTCTTAGATTGTCTTTTATTTCTTGATTCAGTTTCCTTCTTTTTCTTTTCTTCTTCTTCTGCTTGGCTAAAATAGAGTGATTAAGAAAGAAAGAAAGAAGTCATAAAATCTCCAGGTTGAAATTGATCTCAAATATCATTTAATTGCTACAGTTAATAGTAATTTAATTCTGTGCCTAACCTTGCACTCATACTAATGAAATCCTCACAAGTGCACGTAACAGAAGTACTATTTTAAGCCAAATTTACAGATGAGAAAACTGACAGGACATAGAACTAACAAATTCAGACTAAGGATGTCAAACCTAGTCAGAGGTGGTTTTCTAAACTTCCAGTACTCACAACTGTATCTCTGGTTATTATCTAGCTTTGCTCTAACTGCCAGTCAATTTTCTACCTATCTCATCCTTGAAATCCCATGCTAGGTCATTTCATCCTTGAAGTCCTCAGCTTTAGAAAGCGCCTCCTGGCATTGAGCCGAACCTGTCTCCCACAGGTTCCACTCACTGGCCCCACTTTCACCCATGGAGACAACCTAGAACTAGTCCTGTTTGCACATTTAAAGACAAAAACTACTTGGACATTTCCAGGCTGCGACTTTCCCTTGACTAAGTGTGCTAAGCCTTCATAATTGTCAAAGGCCATGGTTTTCATGCATTTCTCCATTTCCTCTAAATATGTTTTTGTCTTCCTGAAGTATCTCTCTCATAATTGAACATAGTAATGAAGCAGAAGGTTAATCTGAACTCAGTGCTTACATTTTCTAGAATCCCTTTCATAATAATAATTATCTAGTGGAACAGAGAAACATTAAACAAATAGTCACATGTATAAATTTACAACTACTGACTGTGATTACTATGATGAAGGGAAAGTTCTGGTTACTATGAGGGAGAAATTTAGGGGGTAGGAGCATAGAGTAGGTTTCAACAAAGCTCTTCAAGCTGACAAGATACATGAGAGGAGTCAACTCCACCAGATCCCAGTCATTCCTTATTCTAAATCATTCCTCCAGGTTCTGTGTATGGACTGAGGCACTGCTTTGCATATTGGTTTGTTTGCTAGGGGATCAGTGGTGTGATTTCAGATAACTTCATACTCTACTCTGCACAGGTCAGGTCCTTGGTCTGCATCTTTTTTCACTTCCATGAGAGCTTAACCAATCAGTGATCGAGATATGGGAATTATTCTTACATAATTATGACATGGTGCAAAAATATGGCACAATAATGCCATTGGTAAGAAACAAACCCAACTTAAAAAGTAAAATATCAAAGCTAAAAAATAAGGAAACACAGAAGAAAGGACAAAACCCTCCTACATTTTCCAGCTACAGCACTACTCACAAGAAGACCTCACACATAGAGCAGGTGTTGCCATGCATTTTCCCATCTGGGCCCTGGATAGGGTCGTTCTCTCTGGTGCAAGGCAGTTTGCCATTCCTCACATACTTGCGGTATTCACTGCACAACTCCTGTCAAAACAGAGAAATAAGTGGGACATTTGTTTCATTTCTAGTCAAAGCAGCAGATCAAAACATCTGCATTGGCAGAAACTAATGTAAGGTTTCTTTGAGCCCAGGATTTTAGCTGTTTCTCTCTCAAATGTAAAGTTCAATTAAACAAATAACACTCATCAGTTGCTAAGAGATGGGAGCAAATAAGACATACTAGGATGTCACAATATAATAAAAGAAATAGATAAGTTAACTCCACTATAACCTAAACAGAATAAAATAAGTGTGAACATAGAGGTACAATAAAATCTGAGAACTCAAGAAGTTGGGACCATGAAATCTGATTGTAGAAAGCAGGGGAGATGTCAGGGAACAAAAATAACTTGATTAAGACCATGAAGAGTAAATAAGATTTACTCCTTTTTTAATGGATTGGAGAATATGCATATTGGATTTTTAAAATAAGCTGAGAAATACAAGTAGAAAACTACATGGCATATAAAATAACATCAACTTCTGATTACAGGTAAAGTTTCCTCAAAAAATTAAAAATGGAGCTGCCATTTGACCCCATGATCCCACTTCTAGGAATATATCCTAAGAAGCCTGCAACACCAATCAGAAAGAACATTTGCATCCTTATGTTCATAGCAGTGCTATTTACAACAGCTAAGATCTGGAAACAGCCCAAGTGCCTACCAGTTGAGTGGATAAAACAAGCCATGGTACATTTACACAACAGAATACTATGCAGCTGTAAAAAAGAGAGATTTCTTATCCTTTGAGACAGCATGGAGGGACCTAGAGAGTATTATGCTAGGTGAAATAAGCTATTCAGAGAAAGACAAGTATCACATGATCTCACTTATATGTGGAATCTAATGAACAAAATAAACTGACAAACAAAATAGATCCAGAGACATGGAAGCATGCAACAGACTGAGGATCCTCAGAGTGAAGGGGAGGAGGGAGGGAAGAGATCAACCGAAGAGCTTATATGCATATAGGCATAACCCACAGACACAGACAACACTGGGGTGAAGGCCTGGGGAGTGAATGGGAGTGGGGAGGAATGGGTCAATGGAAAAAAAAAAAAGGAAGCCAAATAAGGAGACAAGGAGATTGAGATGTATCCTTGATCAAATATGTAACAAGGTATTTGTGGATTTAAGCAGAGCAGTATTGTGACCCGAATAATATTTTGAAACTTTACTCTGGCTGTGTGTGGGAGGACAGCTGGAAAAGGGATAGAACAAAACCTAGATGAAAGATTAGGAGCCTCATCATCAAAACAATAGGTGATAATAACTTACATAAGGCTATGGGAACAGGTATTGTGACATTTCAGAGATAAAAATCATGCTTTCTTTAAAAAAAATGTTTTTATTGATTTGAGAGAGAGAGAAAAAGGGAGAGGGAGAGAGAGAGAGAAACATCGATGAGAGAGAAACAACATCATTCCGCTGCTTTCTGCATGCCCCACTGGGGATTGAATTGCAACTGGGACATGTGTCCTGACTGGGAATCGAGCTGGGACCTCTTGGTGCATGGCTGATGTTCAACCACTGAGAAACACTGGCCAGGCTAAAAATTATGCTTTTTTTGATGTGTGGGATTAAGGTATTTTTATCCTATCTCAGATGTGAAATTTCAAAAATTCTTATGTAGAAAATATGCATGTAGAGTTTCTGAAAGGTGGTAAGCAAAAGTCAGCACAGTCTGTAATTGGTGAAACTATAACTCAGTTTTTCAGGCTTCGGATAAGTTATTTTTATTGTACATGGTTAGTCTCAGAAGCAGCAAGAATCAGCAAGATCAAGTTCCCACAGCATTCTTGTCAATGTCATCCCCAGATTGAAGGGTTAAGATTTTCTGGGGTTTCTATAGGGCAACATTCCAACCTTTAGGCTCTTTGAAGTATGTTCAAATTATCAAGCTAAGTAGGACTTATTGGATGTATTCAACTCACTGCAAATGAAGGTGCTTTTCCAGGTTCTCTCTTATTCCTTGCTTCTGCCTTTTTCTTTTCTTGTGCTTCTGCTTGGCTGAATGAGAGAAAATGAGAGGAGCCATAGGACCAAATATACAGGTAATAATTTCTCGATATTCCTGCATTGCTAAACTGTCCTCCCTCCTTAGGAAGAAGCGATTTTGTCCTTTTATCACTACATACCAATGAGAAGCAACAAATCAGCCTCCAGTATGGCAAGATACCATAACTTCTTCATAGTTTCTGCTTAACTTTGAGAGAAAGAGTGTAATTGTGCATCTGGAAAACTTGCTTTCTCTAAATTACCTTTCTTGCCTGTGGTCAGAAAAGAAACATCATTAATGTCCATAAAGGAGACTATCAAAACTAGTACTGTGGCGACATTACACCTGGAGGCTGAAGGTGGCCGTAACAAAGCATATCAACTGGTCCTCTCGTTTCATGGCAGGAGGTGAGGCAGAGAGAGTTTTGGCTACACTTTTAGGGTATGACTACAACTAGTCAAGGTCTTTCCCCTTAAGTCTATGAACTATCTACCTCATCATGCACACTAACTTTATTAATTCATCTTAAATGTATTGCTTACTCATGGCTATGTTATCTAAAGACAAAATGTATGGTGGGTAGAAAAAGGCCACATGTACCATGGTAAACCAAATGAGCCTAAATTTGCTTTGAACAATAGAATTGCATGATATGTATAGTTAACTGATGTTATTTCAACCATGCATGATTAGCAATCAATCAAGAGGCCATAGATTCTAAATGTGAATCAATTACTTGAACTAAGCTCAATCACATAAATTAAGAGTAGCTCCAAATTTTGAAAGTAAGCTGTCAATTGTAACTTAGTGAAAAATGTTATATAAAGCAACATGTATTGTAATTTTATAAGGTTCATGGTTGTTTCATGGGCAACTTTAACTCTAGTAATCAATTTCTACATTACGTGTTAACTTTGGGCCCTTATGCCTCTGGAAGATGAGATGCCTATAAACTTGTATAAACTGTTCAAATATGAATTTTCAACAGTAGGAAAAATTTGGTATTTGTACAAGTTCATGCTTATCAGAATGTTCCAGTGCTAAGAGAATGAGTGACAAATGAGGGCAAAACAGATACCTTGGAATAAATAGCTCTAGGTACTTACTCCCATCTTGGTTACTAACATTTTCAGTGTAACTTACTCAACTCACTTCCCTATTTCAAGCCACAGATTCCTCATATCTGAAACAAGTTGGTTTTTTAGTTTAGCTGTAAGGTCCCTTTACTTCTTGACAATCTAAAGCTCTATACTCACTAGAAGGCTTGACACATGGAACACAAGTTGCCATGCATTTTCCCATCTGGACCACGAACAGGGTCATTTTCTCTGGTACAGAAAAGTATTCCATTCTTCGAATGACCCTTATATTCGCTGCAGAGTTTCTGAATAATGAAAATGAGATAGTTGAGATTTAGTTTTATTCTTATAAACTTTAGATTCTCTTTTTTTAAATTTAATTTCTTTATTGTTTAATGTATTACATAAATCTCCTTTTCCCCCCATTGACCTCTCTTCGGCTACCCTAACCCCCAGCACATCCCCCCACACCCCCTCACCCATTGGTCTGTGTCCATTGGTTATGCTCATATGCATGCATATAAGTCTTTTGGTTCATCTCTTACTTCCTCAACCCCCACCTTCCCTCATAGGTTGGATTCTCTTTATAAAAAAATATTTAAAAAGGGGAATTAAGAATAAAAATAAAACTTTTAGGATTTAGGCTCATCCTCAAATTTTTAAGTTAAGGGGATATAAATATAAATGTGGTTTAGCTCTTCTATCATTCAAGTGAAAAAGATAAGGAATTACAATATAAAAAGCTAAGAGATGGCACAAGTCAGAATTAAGTGCATACAAGCACAAAGGAAAGAATAATTCATGGAAGTTCAGAAAAGAGCTTATATCTGATTTGTATCATTAGGATAATTTCCAGGAACACAATTTGGCAAGAAGTCCTTCAAGAGGAAGAATTATATGTAAAGACATAGAGGCATAAAAGGACATGTTATTTCAAGCTAATCCTTTGTTGTCATGAGCATAGTGGCTAAAGAAATAGTGGGCAAAGAGAGAAAGGTTTGGGAACTGGTCAAAAAGGAGTCCTTGAAGATAAGTCAAAACCAGGCCCCTAAATTTTGAAAGGAATTTGGACTTTAGTCTTACGAAATGGGAAAACGATAAATATTTATAGCAGAGAAGAATACAATCAAACCTTTGTTTTAGAAAGACTATCCAGCGAGATATGTGGAGGACTTGAGTGACTAGAGACTGAAATAAGGGAAACTATAGAAAAAAAGAAAGGAAGAAAGGAAAGGAAGGGAAAAATTGGAGTCAGGTAATGCTTTGATATATACCTTCATTTACGAATAGGGAACTATTTTACTAATATGACTTGATTAATTTCCTCCAAATAGAGCTTAAAAATTGTAATATCATAGTTATTATTTTATTCTTATAACTCTTATAAAATAACTATAAATTAGTTTCCAGAATACCTATTAGTAGTGAAGAAAAAATGAACCAATATTGAAAATGTATTCCAGAGTAAAATGCACATACACATACATACCATAAAAGTTCTAATTAGATTGATCAAACTAATCCTCACCTCGATTTCTCTTTTAACTTTAACTTTTTCTTCAGCCTTTCTCAGGTTTTCATCTGCTTTATGTTTTTCTTCTGAAAAACGCCGTATTCTGCAGAAAGAAACAAAAGCAAATAAATGATTAGAATGCTTTAAATCTTCATTTTATAAAACTGTCATTTAGGCACAAGAGGAAAAACAGCTAGATATTCCTGAGTTCTTGTGCAAACACTTTCCGATCACCTGAAAGTCCCTTATCAAACTGAAATCTCCACTATTTCCCCAAAGAATCCCTTTCTTTCATTTTGCCTTCATGTATGCCATTTCCTTTCATTGTAATGATCTTTTTTTAAAAAAAATCATCTTCCTTTCTTCTAAATCTCCCTAGCGTAAATTCTCCCTTCTTTAAGAAGATATCTTAAACCTCAAAGTGAAAATTAGTCCTACATCTGTCATCATATTTTCATACCTGAATATCCTCCTTATGGTACATATTCATTTGGTTGTACCGTGTGTGTGTGTGTGTGTGTATGTGTGTGTGTGTGTGTGTGTGTGCGCGCGCACGCGCGCATATCCATGGCTTTTTTATGCTATTTAGCCTTAAGCTTCATTCATATAGTCATTCAACATTTAGTTAGTAACTATTTTTTTGGCAAGCATTAGCCTTAGCATATAGCACAGTAGTACACAAAACAAACACATTCCCTGTCTTTTTGGAACTTATAGCCCAGTAGAGAAGACTGACAGTCAATAAGCAGTCATAGAAAAAGTTTTCCAGTTACCAACTACCATGATTGTTATGAAATAAAATCAATAAGAATTATAAGAATTGAATCTCAATTAGAGATTTTAGGAGGTCTTATCCAAGGAAAGATAATGTTAAAATGCAATCCACGGAAGAAAAGACATTAACTGGTCAAGACTGAGACAAGCTGGCATAGGGGAGCACAAAGAAAGAACGGAGAGAGTTCAAGGATCTAAAGAAAGTGTGATGATCACAATGAGAAAGTTACTGAAAGAAACAAAGTCTTGGTACCTGCTTTTACCCTCATTTTGTACTAAGATTATCTCATAGAAGGCTTACAAAATTCATGAGAGGAAATGTTAAGAAGTATTTTGTTATCCAGCCTTTTCACCGGGTAATAAAATCCATTCGTAATCAGAAATAGACAAACATCTTTAGGATCTATTTAGTAGGTGGTATTATGATTTGTAGAGAACATAAAACTGCTCGAAAAATCTGAACAACAAATCTTCACCACAACACTGTTCTTTTTTATATATATATATACACTAGAGGCCCAGTGCACAAAAATTTGTGCACTCGGAGGGGAGGGGGGTCCCTCAGCCCGGCCTGTGCCCTCTCACAGTCTGGGACCCCTCGGGAGAGAACGCCCTGCTGGCTTAGGCCTGCTCCCGGGTGGCAGAGGGCAGGCCCAATCCCTAGGTGCAGCCCCTGGATGGGCTCAGAGCAGGGCTGATTGGGGAGTTGAGGTGCCGCCCCCGGTCATGCTCAGAGCAGGGTGGATCTGGAGGTGGCGATGCCACCCTCAGTCACGCTCAGGGTAGGGCCGATTGGGGGGTTGGGGCACCGCCCCCTGTCACACTCAAGGCAGGGTCGATGGGGAGGTTGCGGCGCCACCCCCTGTCATGCATAGAGCAGGGCCAATCAGGGGGTTGGGGCGCTGCCCCCTGTCATGCACAGAGCAGGGCTGATCAGGAATTGGGGCACCGCCCTCTATCACCCACAGAGCAGGGCCAATCAGGGGATTGGGGCGCCGCACCCTGTCACACTCAGGCCAGGGCCAATGGGGAGGTTATGTCTCTACCCCATCACACACAGAGCAGGGCCTATGGAGGGCGGCTGGGGCGCCACCCTCTATCACCCACAGAGCAGGGCCTATCAGGGGGCTGGGGCGCCACCACTGTCACACTCAGGGCAGGGCCGATGGGGAGGTTATGGCTCTACCCCGTCACACACAGAGCAGGGCCCTTGGGGGGAGGGAGGGTTGGGGTGCCGCACCCTGTCACACACAGAGCAGGGCCGATCAGGGGGTTGGGGCACTGCACCCTGTCACACACAGAGCTGCAGGGCAATCAGGGGGTTGGGGAGCTCCCCCCTATCAGGCACAGAGAAGGGCTGATCAGGGGGTTGGGGTGCCTTCGCCTGTCACGAACAGAGCAGGGCAGATAGGGAGGTTGTGGCCCCGCCCCCTGTCACACACAGAGCCGCAGGGCGATCAGGGGGTTTGGGCGCTGCCCCGTCACACTGATCCCAGTGCCGGGAGGCCTCTCAGCTCCGCTGATCCCGGTGCTGGGAGGCATATTACCCTTTGACTATATAGGATAGAGGCCTGGTGCATGGTTGGGGGCTGGCTGGTTTGCCCTGAAGGGTGTCCTGGATCAGGGTGGGGGTCCCCACTGGGGTGCCTGGCCAGCCTGGGTGAGGGGATGATGGCTGTTTGCAGCTGGTCACACACCCTTCAGGGTGGAGGTCCCCACTGGGGTCCCTGGCCAGTCTGGGTGAGGGGCTGAGGGCTGTTTTCAGGCTTGCGGGTGACTGAAGCTCCCAACTGCTCCTTTTTTTCTTTTTTATTCTGGGCCAGCTTTAGCTCTGGCTCCAGCTCTGAGGCCTCCGCTGCTGAAAGCAGGTATCTGGTTTGTTTGGGTTCTATAATTGAAACACTGTATCAACTCCAGCTCTGAGATCCCAGCGGGCTGAAAGCAGGTTTCTGGGGTTTTGTTTAGCTTCTATATTTGTAATAATGTTTCAAACTGCAAGCTCAGAGGCCGGCAAGGCAGGCGGGGAACGTTGGTTTCCTCCGTCACTGAAGCAAGCAATCCTTATGTTCGCTTCAAGCTGCCTGGCTGCCGGCCGCCATCTTGGCTGGCAGTTAATTTGCATATGTCGCTGATTAGCCAATGGAAAGGGTGTCGGACATACGCTAATTATCATGTTTCTCTTTTATTAGATAGGATATATATATATATTATTGATTTTTTACAGAGAGGAAGGGAGAGGGATAGAGAGTTAGAAACATCGATCAGCTGCCTCCTGCACACCCCCTACTGGGGATATGCCCACAACCAAGGTACATGCCCTTGACCGGAATCGAACCTGGGACCCTTCAGTCCGCAGGCCGACGCTCTATCCACTGAGCCAAATCGGTTAGGGCTCAACACTGTTCTTATTCATCATTCCAATCAATCGCCACTTCAACTTCTGAATCACTCCAAAGAAACCACATCTGTACTCACAAAATGTCAGCACACAGGGCACATTTGTTGCCATGCATCCTGCCATCGGGGCCACGGACTGGGTCACTCTCCCGGGTACAATAAAGCCTTCCATTCTTCACTTGGTCTTCATATTCTTTGCAAAAATCCTTTAAAAAGACAAGCAATTACATTGAACACGTTTCTACATTTTGATACAGAAAATTTATACCAGAACTTCATAGTCAAAGAATGTCAGATCTTAAAGGTGTTGGTAAACACGTATTACATATTAATGAGAATTAATAAAAATAGTAATTACATTGTGAAATTACTCAGTTCCTGTATTTGCTATGTGGTATATTTATTAAAAGGTAAAAGAGGCTTAGAAAGGATAAGGTTGAGAAAGTATTTCTAAAACTAGCTAGTTCTTGTTAACTTCCAAATCTATGAAAAAATATCAAACAAAAAATCTTTCATGGCGTTCCAACAAAATGCAGCAACCAAAACAAAATAAAATAAAATAAAAATTGACAATGAGAATATAGAAGCTATGAGGTGAGATACTTACATGTTACTTAATATGGATCAAGTCAAGAATAATCCAAACTAGTTGGCAAGGAAAAAAAATAAGATGGTATCCAACAGCATTTGGCTTACGTTAGTTTGTTTTCTCCATGGAATCGTGCATCGTTTTTGTGTACTCTGCTCCTTTATAGATGTTTGTTTATAATTTTATAGGTAGACACCTTAGAGAGAGTGAATCTAATTTTCATTCACTCCCCATCTTAGAGAGATAGAATATCAAGATGAATATTTATTTAGAAAACCTTAAAAAGATTGTGACTTCCCTGCAAAATCTGAAAGGTTTGTACTGATTTCTTGATGCTTTGGTTCAGTATTCTCTGGTTTTTCTTAGTAGTTTTGAAAACTACAATTTGATGTAGGGTAAGTTTATACACACACACATTACTCTAGACTTGGGAATCTCTATATCAATAAACATATTTTGTGATGAGATATATTACTATAATATAACCTACAAAAATGCTTCCCTTTAGCCTTCTCTTCAACTGTGTGACTTTCATTTTTCCATTTCAGCCAAGAAAACATGAACATAAAGTATGGTTTGAGTCAGAGACCTGGGCAGCTGGATTGTGCTTCAAACCCACTGGGGGACCATCATAAAATCTCACTATCTTTGAGACCCAAATCCCACCACCTACACAATGAAGTTTTTGGAACATATGTTCTTTAGGACCTTTTAAAAAATTTTAATTCTCTCTTTTTTAAAAAAATACATATTACTTAGGACACTTTAAAAGGGAATCCTCGCCAAAACCGGTTTGGCTCAGTGGATAGAGCGTCGCCCTGCGGACTGAAAGGTCCCGGGTTCGATTCCGGTCAAGGGCATGTACCTGGGTTGCGGGCACATCCCCAGTAGGAGATGTGCAGGAGGCAGCTGATCGATGTTTCTCTCTCATCGATGTTTCTAACTCTCTATCTCTCTCCTTTCCTCTCTGTAAAAAATCAATAAAATATATTAAAAAAAAATAAAAATAAAATAAAAGGGAATCCTAATTACCTCCTAATAAGAAGATATTTGTTTTTGGAGGAGCAATGGGTGTGCTCCAAACTTCCTGGTTGTAACAACTAGGAATACAGACACAGAAGTCACCTGGTAATCATAACATGGTAATAAAATCAATGCTCAATGATTCCCGTAAGAGAAACAATGATAATTTCAGTTTGTAAGTTGTGATTCACCCAAGGAAATTCTGTAGAAATACTTTTGTGAGCAACCCACTGACAGTTTAATTATGGGGCAGATATTGAGCCATCTCTATAAACCTGTCCTATTCAACATAATCTTGTCCAATGACCCCACCAAAACAATGGCCCCAGCCACAGAGAGGATGAGGGAAAAATAGCCAAGATGTGATGAAAGACAAGGGAAAAGAACTCTCTGTGTTTACGGAGTAGTAAAATACTATCACATGTTGACCCAAGGTTTCAGACTGAAGTTTAACAACCACCACTAAAGAACTGCTTTTCAAATTTCAGTGAGTATTGAACAAATTGTTGACAACTCCGAATGCTTCGTGCTTCTTAACTGAAACACTGAATACCCTATGAAAGTTGAGATTTTTGCTTCATTGAATAGCAATATGAAGTGAAAGGTCAGGAGTTGACTACCATAAACTGGATCTGTGTTTCCCTTGGGAAAGCATGTGCCCTATAATCCACAAGAATTTTATACTTGTATTAGCACATAAAGGTGCAAGACTTAGAATCCCAAACCAATAGGAAAGCAGAATTGAGATCATTTAATCAACCTCTTTATTCTGTTGCCAAGAAAAATTGAGGCCCAGAGAGAAGAGATGGCTGGCTCAGTTTCACACACAAGAGCATGACAGAGCTCAGTCTAAACCTTAGGTGCTCTGACTCCTCAACGAAAGGCTAGCATCAATAATTTTAATTATTTAGCAAAGTAACTGCTATCAGTTTTACTGAAAGTAGGTTAACTAGCCTTTGTGATTTAAGAAATCAGGCTGCATTACCTACAATGCCTATTCTATTAACAAAATGAATATCATTTTCATGCTAGATGGAAAATTAAATCATCTAATAATTCTTAAAAACTTAATTGTGGGTGTATTTTTAAAACCACAAGCTCAATATTTGTTTGAAATTTTCATGTAACAGAAGCAAGACCTTTGTAAATGGGATTATACATAAAATATACTAGTGGATATATTTTGTTCAAAAGACTATAATTATTGTTATTTTATAATTTTTTAACTTAGAACCTCATTTTTAATTTGTAATAAAACTTTACAATTTGGTTTCCCCCCAAAAAACTTCAACAAACTGTAAGAAGCTGTTAATAAAGGTCTTAAATAACAAAAAATTATTTTTAAAGTTATTCCTGTCTAATTTATATTGTTATATTTTTTATAATTTATTCAAAGCAAGATTAATTTACAAGAAAGCCGAAGAGAAGTCTGATGAAAATTAAGTGGAATTTAATTTGCCTAAACTTTCTGACTTACATTCTTTTTTTTTTTTTTAAGCAAAGAGGAAATTGCATATTTTGAGCTTTAGGTGAGAAATGCTGTTTTAAAAATGAATTTAATTATTGTACTAAGAATTGTGAACTTGGAGAATTGTGAAATTAAGGGAAAGAATAATGTGATGATGAAGGACAATGACATTATTAAATGACCTCAAACGGTTAAGCATATGTTTATTAAGATTTATAGCCACAAGAACCCAATTGTGTTGGTGAGTAATTTACCTTTTCAGCACTTCGTTGAATTCTGGTTTCATCGTGTCGCTTTCTATTTTCTTCAGCTTCTTTTAAACTGTGAAGAATGAAACACTTGGTCAGTTTATACCTCGATCCTATTTCAGTGTCCAGTTCTGTGTTAAGCACTTTTATATCTTTTGCCCTAACTTGTTAAACTGATCCACTTACATTAGACAAGCTTTTCTCTGTCTTGAATATCTGAGCCTGAAAATTACTAAAGATAAGGAAGGGTGCGAAACTGACTCACTCACAGTCAATTAGAAGCTTTGTTCTGTGTAACTCGATGGGTGTGACTCCTTGATTGACAAACATATTGTCAGAAGAATTCCCTTTAACAGGCAGAACCAAGAGCATTAAAAACAATGCTGTGACAAGGTGAAACCAGACTGAGTATTGGAAATATTGTCACCCACACCCTAAGTATAGCTTTATATACCTTGTAAAGTATTTCGTTTGCCTTTATGTAAAAGCATTATTGTTAATAAAAGCTACATGAAATTGAGCTTCTAAGTTCTTTCATATCATCTATATCTAATTACAGTATCTTCCTACATTATTATCTTAGTTCTACAGAGAAAGAAATTAAGAGTTAGGGAGGTCAAATTCTCTTTTTGGCTAGTGCATAAAGAGAAAATGAAAGCTGCAGAATTAGTACAGGTTTGAACACTAAAAGCACATGTCTCCTAGTTCTAAACAAGTGAAAATTTGGCTGATTTCCAGTCTAGAAACCAGTTATAACCACTATATTGTAAACCTGTTAAGACATGCCCTTGAATTCTACAACAGTGCACTTTAATTTTCAAAGGCAGGTGTGAAGTTTATTAATCTGTAAATCTTTCTCTAACCAGCTTTTAGAGATCCCAGAGATATATACAGAGCACTATAAGGCTTGCTGGCATACGGATTAGAGTCTATATCTTGTTGAACATCCAGAATATTAAAGACTCATTGGATCGTATTCATACCTGGATCTCAGTGCTCAGAATCATGTCAGGCACCCCGGGAAAGATTAACCTAACAGTTCTTCCCTTTCATAAATTCCATCTTTTATACTAATAATAAATTCAGCCACATGACATTGTTACCATTATTATTATTTTAAATTAGACTTTCATTGTAGTAAGTCTCTAATACCTGCCCCCAAAAAGCAATGCATGTCAAATGACTGAACTAGGTTATTCCATTTGAAAGTGCTTTTTAATTTTCAAAGCATTATGCCTTATAAGACATTGTGCAATTTCAAGTCATTATATGGAACAAATTAAGTCTTGAATTTAATAACTAACTAACATAACCACCTTATCCATTCCTTTTAAGAAACTTTAGCAAATGATATGAATTAAAAAGAGAAAGGCCACTCTGGGACCAAGGGCCATTTTGCCTTATGAAGACAAAAGATTGCATGATAAGGACTTGATCTCTCTGTGGAGTGGTACTTAGGACAGCCACCAAGGGCATCCTCATCAAGCCCACCTGCTTGGCCTGCTTGGGGACGGTGATACTCACAACAGCTCAGCACACATCACACACTTATTGCCATGCGTCCTTCCATCAGGGCCACGAACTGGATCATTTTCCCTCGTGCATCCAAGTCTTCCATCCCTCACATAAGGCCGAAAAGCATTACAAACATCCTAGAACAGAAGAAGAAATGTGACATTTGCCACCTTGATTGTAATCCTTACAATGCTGCTTTCAGAAATTTTATAGAACTCAGTGCCTCTCTGTCCAATGCAAATAGCCATGTAGAGCAGTCTCAGAGGTAGCTCCGTATAATTCACGTGGTGAAGTATGGAACTCATTTACTTATTAATTCACTTATTAGTAAACGTGGATAACCTACTGTGTACTAGAACTAAGGTATTACACAGTCCTTGCCCTCAGCTTGCTCACCATCTACTGGGTCACACAAAGAGAGATTTAAAATACATGCTAAAAGTCTTGATGGAGGTAATCGCTGGTGCCTATAAGAAGGGCACCAAAACTTGACTTAGAAAAGTCATTCAGTGAGAACAAGTCAACTGTGATATAGTGAGATGTTCACTTCCTTCCCCTAACATCAAAGGCTCACAGAATTTTAGTATAAAAAGAGGCTAGTTAATCCAAATCTCAATTTTAGATATGGAAACACTGGAACAGGATGGTTAAGGGGTTTGCCCAAGGTCTCCTGACAGCAAGTGATAATGCCGGGATTTCAATTGAGGTGAGTGACAGGAGGGTAGTGACCTTTAATTTTCAAAACATTATGCCTTATACACAGGTAGTTCCCTTTTTTTAAAAAAAAATTTTTATATATATATTTTATTGATTTTTTACAGAGAGGAAGGGAGAGAGATAGAGAGTTAGAAACATTGATGAGAGAGAAACATCGATCAGCTGCCTCCTGCACATCTCCTACTGGGGATGTGCCCGCAACCCAGGTACATGCCCTTGACCGGAATCGAACCTGGGACCTTTCAGGCCACTGAGCCAAACCGGTTTTGGCAGTAGTTCCCTTTTAACGAATTCCCCCCTCACCCCCCCATCCCCCGCTCCTTCCCTCCCTTCTGTCTTTCCATAGAAAGCTGAAATAGAGCTGAAAGGTCTAACTACTAAAGTAACCTGGTCTAGTTTCAGAAACTATCAATTGCTTTTCATCAAACAAGCAGTATCCCAGTTCAAGCACAGCAAGAATTACTTCTTTCAAACCACCCCACCAACGAAGGAGGAGCAAAGAGCCTTCTTTCTCTTCAAAGTCAGCGCCCCAGTCCCACTGTTTCCCACCCTCTGACATTTGTGCTCACCTGCTCTGGATTGCTGCTTTCACACTCCCCTTCGTTTTTTATGCCGACTTGGGACCTGGTTTTACTGGAATTGAAAGTTCGGAGACATCAGTTTAGTATCACAGAACTTCTCATCATTTGAGTGTTAACTTATCTTCATTGTTTTATGATTCTTTGCTCTTGAAAACAGGCGTCACATTGCATGATTTTCTTTACTTACTCTAAGGAGAGCCTAGGTTTGTAACTTGGAGTCAAAGAAATGAAATCACATTGATGGGGCAATAAGATGCACACCTGTAAATGTTATTTCCAGATTTGTTTTACTATGTCCAGAGGGGACCTTATCAGAATTGTGGGAAAAAGTAAAGCTTGTAATTAGATATTAGATGCCCCCCAAGGAACTTTGTTGTTCTTGGTTTTAATAAACAAATTCAAGTTTACAGTATCTAGCATCCCATTATACCATCCTTTGTTTTTCATGGAAAGTTCATGAAGTCTTAATAATTAACCTTATTCCATCTAAAAGAGCTTTAAAGCATATCTGAAAACATAGAACCATAAATGTAGGACACACTTCCTACTTTCTATAAAGATAAGGCAGCTTGCAACTAAAGCATTTATATAACAACAAAAATACAATACAAACAAGAAAAGTAAAAACTTAGTGAAGTGATAAGAAACGTGTTATATAAAAAAATATCAGCTGAAGGGAACAAAAATATTAAATTCCACATGATTCCAGAGTCTTCTAGTAGACCGAGCTAAGAAATGCAATGAGCAGTATGACTCTCACTGCACCGTACATGAAGCATACCAGAAACGATGGGGAGAAACTTACACCTGAACCAGAGATTTAAAGAATCTACCACAGGATTCCCCATGTAAGTAAGAGTAGAAACTAAATGTGCAGTGTGCTCACAGCAGTGTTACAAAACAGGTATCTAATAAAAACCAGTATGCTCTTCCCATGTCTGTTTTTGCTTTCTGTTTCTTTATGTTGTCCCTTGGTAAGAGTTGAGGATCTAATTTTAGAGTGTATTTCTGAAAATGCAGTCATGTGAGGGATTGGAGTGATTTAATCCAGTGGTGCCTTGGTTAAGATACTTATTACAAGGAGGGATAAGCTTGCAGAAGCTTGAAGACTAAATCTCTTTCATAGCCTTTACCACTCTTCTCAGACATTGTTTGTTATATTTACAAAAACTGTAGAGCAGACAATTACAGATTGAGGTCACAAGCCAGAACCTGCAAAGCAAGTATGCTATCTTGTTAGTTGAATACAATCGATAACCAAACCTAGTATTGAGGGTGGAGAAGGAACAAATGGGACAAAATATAGGACAGCGAGATGCTTTATTGATGTGGTGAAGGTTAAAGAGATAGAAAGTTCAACATTAAGAGTCCCAATTACCTACTCTAATACTATAAATTACTGAGAACGTAATATAAGTTGATGATTAAATAATTCCCTGTAGAACAGAATACAATCAGAAATAGATAAACAGAAAATAGATACATGTGTGTAGTACATTGCATGTATGTATAGATATATGCATATCTATACATACAAGCATATATATATATATTATATAATATATATATATATCTGCTTCATAGAGGCAGTGAGAACCATCTGATAAATAGCACACAAAAGTGCTTTGTAAAACATAAAGTGATATAAATATTTTTCTTTAAGGGTAGTAAAAGAAGTGGTTCTAATAATTTATGGATGACTAACTCCCACAAAATGAATCATTAAAGACCATAAGAAAAAATGTGTCATGTAATTATACAGAGAAAATGCTGTAGGGAGAAAGCCTGCTTCAGAGAATACTCACATGTTCTCAGCACACAGGGCACATCTGTTGCTGTAAGTTTTCCCATCTGTGCCACACACAGCTGCATTATCAAAGGTACAGATAAAATCCCCATCTCTTTCTCCTTTCCTGAAATCATCGCAATTCAACTGTAAGAGATGTGGTTAAAGAACATAAGAACATTAAGAGAGAAAATATTTCTTAGGTACTTAATTACTGGTTTTTTGTGTGTTTTTTAAAATATATTTTTATTGATTTCAGAGAGGAAGGGAGAGGGAGAGAGATAGAAACATCAATGATAAGAGAGAATCATTGATCGGCTGCCTCCTGCACACCCCACAGGGGATTGAGCCCTCAACCCAGGCATGTGCCCTTGACTGGAATCGAACCTGCAACTCATCAGTCTGCAGGCCTAAACTCTATCCACTAAGCCAAACTGGCTAGGCACAGTGGTCGGCAAACTGCGGCTCGGCAAACCACGGCTCGTGAGCCACATGCGGCTCTTTGGCCCCTTGAGTGTGGCTCTTCCACAAAATACCGGCTCTTCCACAAAACACCAGCTCTTCCACAAAGTACTGACTTCTGCGCATGGGCCACGAAGTTTCGATCGCACTGTATGTGCGCGCCCGCACGTGGTATTTTGTGGAAGAGCCACACTCAAGGGGCCAGATAGCCGCATGTGGCTCGCGAGGCGCAGTTTGCCGACCCCGGGTAGGGCATAGGTCTGTTTTAAGCCCACAACAATATAATTCACTGGAGAAGAAAAACATATTAAGGAAACTACACTGAGATAATAAAATCAGGGATAATAAAACATGGTTCAAGAACAGAGATATAATTAGATATGAGAAGAATTTCAGTATAATTTTAGCTCCTTGCTGTCTGTGTAAGATACCAAATCACCTCTCTGAAACTTAGGACTGTTTGTCTATAAAATCCTGCTTGCCTTCTTTACAGATTGGTATTGTAGATCATACATTTTCAAGCTCACTGTAAACTATAAGCTGCAGTAAAGTTTCTGTTATTACCAGTTAGGGTAATGATCACAAGCCAGATTTTTAGGTTCATAGTTCTAACTCTGCCACTTACTAGCTATGTGATATGGAAAAGTTACTTAACCTTTTTGTGCTTTAGTATCCTCCTTTGCAAAATGCATATAGACTGCTCTCAGGATTATAAGAGATTTAAATATATTAATACATGTGCAGCATTTAAAACTGTGCCCAGTACATCATAACCACTTATTGTTCTTGTTCTTGCCCCTGTTGTTTTCTCTATTGACAATCAAACCAATAAAATTAAACACCTTTTAGAGATAATTGGAGAAACCCCAAAATCATGACTCTCATAATATGATATATACTCAGGGATAAACTTGAACAGTGAGAAAAACAACTGCACTAGGTAATAACTAAAGACTAGTGTTTAACTCTCAGATCAGCCACCCACTTACTTCATCTCTTTGAACTTCACTTTCCTCATCTGAAAAATGGGAATTCACACCCTATCCACATTATAGATTCATGTTGAAGATCAAATGAATACTTATGAAACATTATTTGGCAACTCACTACTGTGACATAAGCTAACTAAAAAATATATAGAGTTAACTTGAATTTACTTTCTTTCTAAAATCTAAGAATAAAACCGGAGATTTTTTCTTTATGATGTCACATTGCAAAATAAAATTTTTGATGTCAAGATCGTCATAATAAAAATATTTAAGTATAGATATGAAACATATAAAATATAGACCTGAACCTAGTGTGTCATACAATATAAAGAACAAAGGTAGGATGAATACAAATATATAATGAATTTGTAAAACAGAAGATTACATTGAGAAACAAAGAAGCCAACAAAGAGGGAAAAAATAAAATAGAAAAGAAAAGCTATAGGACATACCCCACTATTCATGCCATATGTTTAGGAAGAGGTAAAAAAAAATAGAGTGAAAACAGGATAAGTAATGGCCATATGTGTTATTTTCATCCATTCAGTTTTTTATTTTTACTTAAAAGACATTACACACACACTAGGCTCTAGGCATTCCATAGACTGTCACATTCCCACAGGGAAAAAAAAAGAAAGAAAAGAAAAATAAACAACAACAATAAAAAGAAATGCATGCTCTCAGAAACTTACATTCTAGTGGGAAGAGATAGGCAATAAATACAAAGAATTTTAAATTATAGTAAGTGCTATGAAAAATATACTGAACAATATGATAGCACCTAGAAGAGTGGCTATTTTAAATATAGTGTCAAGAAAGATCTCTCAGCAATGGCAATATTTGAGGGGATATGAGATTAATGAGAAGGAGCCGGCCTTTGAAGATCTGAGGGAAGAACATTCTAGGCGTAGAGAACTCCTATTGCAAAGGATTTGTGATAGGAACTAGACTGTTCTCTTCACTGGGCAAAAAGATGAGGAGTATGGATGGAGTATAAGAAAACAACAGGGGCCTTGCCAGTGTGGCTCAATGGTTGAGTGTTGACCTATGAACCAGAAGGTCACAGTTAGATTCCTGGTCACGGCACATGCCCAGGTTGTGGCTTGATCTCCAGTAGGGAGTGTGCAGGAGGCAGCCGATCAATGATTCTTTCTCAACATTGATGCTTCTATCTTTCTACCCCTCTCCCTTTCTCTCTGAAATCAATAAGAACATATTTAAAAAACAACAACAGGGAGCTGCTGATTTTCTCGGAATAATCATTTTGTTGAAACTACAGAAGCCTCAGCAATGTGAATCAAATTTATTAACTTCCACAATCACTGCTATCCCTCTTCAACAGAAAAATCAACCGCAGCATACTAGGTCACAGGTGTTAGCAGAGTGATGACAGGGCAGGTCAAAGCCCAGCTGGGAGGTGATGAGAACAGATGCAAGCATTTACTGCTCCACCTCCTCCTCCTCCAAACCCCAAGGGCTGGTGGAGCACAACCTACAGAGAACACCTCTTCCTAATGCTGACAATTGCTGAGATCTTACAGACGGATTCCTGACCTGGTGAGGTGGCAGTGAACCAGAGTGTGCAACACTGGCTCCAGAACCTTCAGCTGTGGGCCTTCCCTTTTCCTGTCCTTACACTCACTGGAGAGAAAGCCACTAAAGCTTGGCCTTCAATATTATCTAACTCACTTTAGCAGGAAAAAACACACAACTAAAGCCATCAAGGAATATTACAGTAAAAATATCTGTATATTTGAGGAGTAAAACAGCATAAAAGATGGTAATATGAACAATATTCAGTATCAACTGAAGCAGAACTATTGGAATGCATAGAAAAATAATTTACTGAGAACATAACTATGCTTCAGAGAGATGAGGGAAGATACTGCAATATAAAGCAAGAAAAAAAGAAGTTATAAAGGAAGAAAAAAGTGGAAGCTTTAGGTATGAAAAATATTTAAATGGTAATAAATAAACCAATATAAAGAATAAAAATTGGATAAGTACAAATACATAATGAATTCATGAACCAGAAGATCAGATTAGAAAACTCACATAGAAGACCAAAACAACAACAACAACAACAACTAATTTAAAATAGAAAAAATCTAAAAAAACATAAAGCATAAATTTAGAAATCTTCAAGAAGAGGTAAACGTATACAGGAAGAATATTTGAAGAAACAGGGGACATTGCTAAAATTCGTGAAAAGTGAAAGAAGAAGAAAAGTAGCCATAGCAACTCAAATCTATACTCTGGGCAATAAGAAAACTGTGGAAGTTTAGGGGATTTTAGCAAAATGAACTGAGAGCAGACTAACACATTAGGGGAGAAGAGATACTAACAATAAACACAAATATTAGCAATTGTGATAAATTATAATTACAGGTATTTGATTTAGGGTACTCATGAGAAGAACAACAAAAAGATATGTTACATTTAAGACATCATCAAAGAAAAGACGAAGGAAGAAACTACTTCAAAAATAATTTATAAAAAAGTCTAGTACAGTAACTAAAAATATGAAAAATTGTGAAAACCAACTCCTAGTAAAACAAGTAACAAAAAGTATAAATTGACTAACCCCACAAATTAAAAGATAATTTGTGTTTAGATTTAAAGTATAGGAACAAAGAGTTATTTTATTTTATTTTCAATTTAGAAGGCACTGGGGGCCAGGTGGAGCCTCTTTCTTGAAGAGACACACCCACCTTTGGCCTGTTCTGCTTTTTATTTATTTGAATAATGTGGAACAAAGAGTTATTGATCACAAGAAAAAATTTTAAAAGGCACTCATATATTACAATAGGATAAAAAAGATATATATAAGGTAAAAATGAATGAGAGCAGTGCAGCAATATTAATGCTTAGGATACAGAATTGAGTCCAAAATGCATCCTAAGGGGGGGAAAGGACATTATATAAAGTAATAGGAAGAAGGGGAAAAGGTAATGTAATCATGAGCTTAAATTACAGGTTCTAAAAATGTCAACAACCAACAGAATATGATAGATAAATCAACGACTGGAGTAAGAGATTTTGGCACACACTTCTCAGAAACTAATATATTGGGGATTAACAAAAAAGCTGATATGATAGATTTCTAGTATGACGTATAAAGAAAGAGATGAAAATAAAAATATATGCAATGTTTATTGGAAAAAAGATAAACATTGGATATACACACAATGAAAGCATGTTATTCACTAATTTTAAAAGTAGTATTTAAATAATTTTAAGTAAATTTATGGAGTTATACAACCATCACTATAACCTAATTTTACAATATTTCCATCATTCCGAAGGTTTCCCCTGTACCCATTTATAGTTAATCCTAGTCCCCAGCTCCAGCCTTAGGCAACCACTGAACTTTCTGACTCTATAAATTTACCTTTTCTGGATATTTCATATAAATGGACTCATATAAATGGTATATAATTGATTCTGGCTTCTTAAATTTTTCATAATATTTCTTAGGTTCATCCATATTTTAACAGCATCAGTGGTACATTCCTTTTTAATTGCTGAATAATATTTCATTGTAAAAATGTAGCTCGTTTTGTTTATCCATTCACTAGTGGACATTTAGGTACTTAGACTGTTTTCAGTTTTGGATTATTTAAAACAATGCTGCTATGAATATTCACATGCCTGACTGTGTGGGCATGTGTTTTCACTTCATTGGTGTAGATTTCT